AACCCATTCTACCCATTGATAACTGCCTATTAAGGTTTGAATACCAGTATTTTGGAAAAACACATTAAATTTAATAATGCACCTAAAGTCCAACCTGATCAATCATGATGGATTTTATTCCATGCGCACTTGCATCGCTCACACCTTAAGTCAACAGCACTGTTTCTGCAACACAACCTGCCCAAAGAACACATTGTGAACCTTTTTCAGCTTCCCAAAATGTTCTGCTTGTTGTGAATTGGTAAAAAGTGAGCTTGTTGTATTGGATTGGATTCCGACAGATTACACGTTCTCCAGCATCCCTTGCTGTCTATTCTAAAAAAAACTTCCATCAGTTACATTCTTCTAGTCCAACACCTTGCTCAAGCAGGCGATCCTATACCATCCCAGAGAAATGGGATGTCCAGTCTCTTCTTAAAAACCTCCAGTGTTGAAGTACCCACAACTTCTGGAGGCAAACTGTTCTACTGGTTGATTGTCCTCAAGGTCAGGAAATTTCTCCTTAGTTCTAGGTTGCTTCTCTCCTTGATTAGTTCCTATCTACTGCTAAGTTATTAAGCAAGGATTACTTGTATTTAGCCCAGACTAGCATTGAAGACATCTTACTAAAGTCTGTGTAGCTTTTCTCTTTGATCTTGCCAAGGAATGTAGGATTAGACATATAGTTTGCTTAAACATGATTTCTTCTTTGTAATTGGCTATATTCACATATCATGCTAAGCATGAACCGTGATTTATAGCTAGCAGGAGCTGGGGTCATAAAACAAACTCAGCCAAGTTCATATTAACTATATTAAACTGCACAATGGATGAACCCAACCTAGCAATCTTCTTTTCCTCACTGTTCAACAGCCAAAAGGACTTGAAACACTGCCCACTGTGGCCCCCATCCTCAGGTTATTAGACTGAGATTCATCACCTGATACCATGTCAAAGCTTTGGGACCAGCCTACTAAACAGCCACGGACAGAGTGCGCACACAAAATCCACTCCCCACTCCGCACACACCAAATAGCCGTTGGGGCAGCTCAGGGCTTCCTCTGACCAAAAGCACTTTTATCTGCCTTTCTTCATCCCCAGAAGGACACCAGGGGACTGAAGCGCAGAGGAGGGCTGACCGCAGAAAAGGGGCAGGGCAGCAGCCTTCTCCTTACTGGCCCAGACCCATGGGTCCAGGGTGCCCCGACTCCCCTGCAAGACGCTGCTTGTGCTTCCTTCCTCAATTGACAAGGCAGATGGGTTTTGGGGTCCTTCAGCTGTTTCCATGAGGAGGCGGCCTCCCTGCTGAGACAGCCAAGGGCAGCTCCAGAAACTCCCGCATGTTTCAGAGAGAGCCAGGAAGAGAGATGCTACTCTGAGGAAAAATCAAGGGGAGCCTGGCAGCCCCCAGACTCCTCCTGATCCTTTGGATACAAGAATAAAAGAATAACAGAGTTGGAAGGGACCTTGGAGGTCTTCTAGTCTAGCCCCCTGCTCAAGCAGGAGTCTCTCTACCATTTCAGAAGTGGCTGTCCAGTCTCTTCTTAAAAGCCTCCAGTAATGGAGTACCCACAACTTCTGGAGGGAAGCTGTTCCACTGGTTAATTGTCCTCACTGTCAGGAAATTTCTTCTTAGTTCTAGGTTGCTTCTCTCCTTGATCAGTTTCCATCCATCGCTTCTTGTCCTGCCTTCTGGTGCTTTGGAAAATAGGTTGACCCCTTCTTCTTTGTGGCAGCTCCTCAAATATTAGAACACTGCTATCATGTCACCCCTAGATCTGTTTTTGAGAAACACACATTTGCTAGTGGTTATAACTTGGCTTGCTTCTATTGCTTGATTATCTTTTCCAGGATCTTCCCAGGTATTGATGTCAGGCTGATTGGTCTGTAGTTTCTTGGATCTCTTTTTTCCCCTTTTTTTGAAGATGGGAACCAAACTTAGCTCTTTTCCAGTCTTCTGGTAGTTCCCCAGTGCTCCAGGATCATTGAAAGATAAGGTTCAATGTTTCCAAGATGACATCTGCCAGCTCCTTCAGAACTCTGGGATGTAATCCATCAGGTCCCAGTGATCTGAACTTGTCTAGAGCAGACAGATGTTCTTTACAATTTTTTTCCTTATATTAATTTGTATTCCTAGTCTGTCTTGTATGGTTATGTTTTGTAGGTTGGGCTGTTATTTTCTTTTTGCATGAAGACAGATGCAAAGAATGGGTTAAACAGCTCTGCTTTCTCTCTACTGCCTATTACTTCCTTGCCATCGTCTCCCATTAGTGGACCCATTGTTTTCTTGACTTTTTTTTTTACATGTTGAAAGAAACTTTTTTTAATTATTATTTTTGACATTTGTTGCAAGACTTAGTTCATTCTGAGCCTTAGCTTTCCTGACTTCATCGTTGCAAGAGAGTGAACCAGGTCTCCTCTGACAGCAATGGGCAAGCACCATGAAGCAGCTGCCCAGGAAAGGCCAATCGCACTGGGACAGCTTCAGGGGAGAAACTGGCACAAGTGGAAGGAGATGGAGCAGCCATTGCGAAGAGGATGGACTCACTCAGCCCAACTCACCCCACAAGGATGGTGCTAAGTGAGGAGTGCTGGTCAAATCACCTTGAGTTTCTGAGAACAAAACATGTCAATTTACCAAAACAAATAAAACAAAGCTGACTGGGGTTTCCTAGGAGAGTCTGGCCCAATTGTGAAAGTGCCGGTTTTAGGTGGGAACCCCCAGGCTAGGCCTCCACTCCTGGCTTCCTGGGAGAGTTTGGGTTGGTTCTGTGAGGAAGATTAGCTCTTCTATTGCCCCGAGAGATAACATTCTATAAATACTATAAATCATGTAATTCCCACCAATAGGACAAAGGGCCATGCAGCCTTGGGCATGGGCTCAGTCCTGCAACCAGCAAGCAAACCCTGCCTCCCCCGACTAGTATTTCCACTTTGCACAACGTGATTCCAGGCACCTAAGTAGTAGCCTGGATCTCAACCGCTGAGCCCCTGCCCCTTGGCCAAGCTCAGAAGGGAACCGTGGGGCTGCAGAGAACCCACCTCCCAGCTGAGCTTCCTCTCCTGTGACAAGCAAAATCAAAGTGAGAAACACCCCCCCCCCCCCGGCTCTTGCCCCCATCTTCTAGAGCTATTCTCTCCCCTCCCCGGGAAGCTGCCAAAGCTGAAACCTGCGAGGGGGATGTGGGTGTGTGGAAGGCCCCTTTTCCACATCTACAGGCACATCGGCTGCTGCTGCTGCTGCTGCTGTTGCTCCTGCCCTGCCAACTGTTCAGGTTCTCCGAATGACTCCCTTCTAATATTCATGGAGATAGCAATCTGATTTCCTTTTGGAAAAGCCCCACTCCAAGGGGACCCTGCAGGCTCCCCTGCTCCTCCAATGGAACGGCCATAATTATGACTCAACGGAATGAGGGCAAAAGCAGCTGCAAGCAGAGACTCTCCATCGTTCGGCATGTGTGTTTGTTGCATTTTGGCATCAACTAATATCTAAAGCTGAACATAACCATGGAAACAGAGGTGGCTTTTTCTAAGGCACAAGGAGCACTGGCAGCTGGCACCTATCATGGCAAGGACATATTGCGCAATACCAGCCCTTCGTCCAAGGAACGACAAGGGAAAAGCTAAGCAGTCATTTCTGCAGGCGAGACCTGAAATGAAGCTACGGAGGCCAAAGAGGAAGGCTGACAAGACAGCCGTGGCCCTCGAAGGCAGGGGCTGGGGAACAGGGAGGTGGCCCGGATAGCAAGGAGGTGGCAAAATTAGCCCCAGAGGAGTTTTACACTCCAATGGTCAAGCTCTACTGCCAGTGGCAGAAATATGAGACACAGATCACCTGGATCTCACGTTAAGAGATCTGCTGCAGATCCCTACCTATCTTTGTGGCACGGCTCTGTAGTTCTTCTCATGGAATTATAATTGCTCAACTGTTCAGCACGATGCCTGCAGCAGTCCTCTCTCTTAAGCATCATGGCCAAGCGATCGAAAAGCTTTGAGAAACCTGGACTATCAAGTCAAGGCCCCGTCCCTGCCAGCTGCAAGGGAGAAAGGGGTCCCCGCTCTGAAGAGAGATGCCCGAGTGATGTAAAAAGTGCTAGCAAAGCGTAGCAGCCATTGATTGGATTTGCTTGAGCAGAGGGCTGGACTAGAAGATCTCCAAGGTCCCTTCTAACCCTGTTATTCTGTAACTCTAGCCACTTCCAGCTGGGAAAAAGGTTACCATTTTTGAGGGAGAAGGTGAGTGTATAAGATTCTGAGAAATACCGTCCCCCTCAGGGGCATATTATATTTGGTTTCCTTCTTCCTTCCACCGACTCCTCTGCCACAGCCCCGGAAGCAGCAGCCTCCTCCGGAGAAGCCCCCTTCTGCTCCCCCCCCCCTGCAGAATGACAATGCCGTCCTGGAAACCAGCAGCCCCCGCCGGAGCCAGGATCACAGCCGCCGGCCCACCTGCCACTCGCCCATCCTGAGCGGCTTGGAAGACAAGCGCTCGGGATGCGCATCTCCCCTGAGCCCCCCCTCCCCCCGCGCTGGCCTGGAAGAGAAGCTGCCGAATGAGAAAAGAGCCCGAGGGGGCAGGTGGGACCCCCACCCCGGGGAGGCTGACTCACCAGGCCTGCAAGGAGAAGGCGGCGCCCCCCCCCCCCCCCCGAAGACAAAAGGAGAAAGGGGCCATTCCGCCCTCCCTCCCTCCTCTCTCCTGGGGCTGCCGGGGGGGGCAAAGCTTGGGATGGCACTGAGGGGTCTTCAGCATCTTTTGCCCAGGAAAGACCCCGCTCGGCTGCCGAGCACCGGATCGGGCGGAGCCGCTTCCCAGGGAGCCCCCCCCCCCGGCGCCTCTTGCTCCGGCCAGCCTGGGGCGGGCGCGGGTGGGCAGCGGCCGGAAGGCTTTGTCTCGGGGGGGGGGCCGCTTCCCAGCCCTTGGAGCCCCGTTTGGGGAGAGGCGCCTCCGACCCGCTTGTGCCGGGCAGCGGAAGGGAAGCGGCCGGGGATTCAGCCCTCCCCCCCCCCAGAAAACCTACCGCACATTTGCCGAGATGCCGCTGCGAAACGGGCGAGGGAGCGGCGGGCGCGCGTGGGCCGCCCTCGCAGGTGCCAGCCGCGGCTGAGGCCAAGCCCGTCCCAGGCGGCGAGCGGCCGAGGTGCGCCTCACAGCATCTCGCGCCCGGCTCCGCCTCGCCTCGCCCGGCGCTCCTCTCCCGCGCCGCAGAAAGCAGCCGCCGCCGCCGCCACCTGCACCCGGCTCGGGGCCGCGAGGCCGGCGACGACAAAAGGGCTCCTCCCCGAGCGCCCCCCGGCGGCAGACGGGCCCAACCGCAGGCGGCGCGGCGCCCCCGCCCGACCCCCGCCACGCCCGCCGCTGCGCCGCCGCCCGAGCCGAGCCGAGCCGAGCCGGGCTCTCTGGCCGCCGCAGGGGGAGGCGGCGACGCCCACAGCCCAAGTGACCCGCGCGGCCCCGAGGTCACCTGCGCAGGCAGCCCAGCCCCCCTCCCCGCCTGCTGGTGCGCCAAAGCCCCGCCAGCCGCACCTGCTCGGCCTGCGGCTCCCGGCGGGGAGGAGCCCCGGCAGGGCAGCGGCAGCGGCGGCCCGAGGCGTCTCGCTTGGTGCCGCCGCCGGCCGGGGAGCAGCCGCTGCTTTGTCTCGCCAGGGAACGGCCCGATACCTGGTCGCCCTCCGGCCCGGCGGGGCGATGCGGTTCTCGCCACGAGGCATTCGGGTGCTCAAGTGCCCCGACCCGCCGCGCGTGGGGAAAGCAGCCGCGGGCCTTGCCCGGCTGTGGCCCGCAGAAGGCCCGGCTGGCAAGTGGCAGGGGGAGTCGCCAAGCCGGGCTGGGAGGCAGAGATTCGGCCGGGGCCGTCAGACGGAGAGCCCGCTGGTCTGTGGCCGCCTGGCGCCCTTTCCCTGTTGCTCAGGGGCCTTCGCTTGCACCGGGCTCCGCTCAGGTGTGGGCTGGGTCTCTGGGTGCCTCTCCGGCTCTTCGTTCAAGGGATTCAAGTTCTCTTTTTTATTCCTCCTGTAGCTCATCTGGATGTTGCTCTCTTGATATAGGTTGTAATGCACATGTGTATTGAAAATGACAGATGAATAGAATTTCCAAAGTGAAACAAACTCAGTTTAAAAGGAAAAAAATAGTATCTCAGCCAAGAGTTTAAAAAAAATGTCAGCTTCTTAGTGTAAAAAAAATACACGCATAAAGACACATATTTGCAATAAAAGTATTTTTCTTTTCAACCTCCCCATTTTGTTTTGGGGAAGATGGAATTGTTTGCCCACATTTTAGAGTATTACTTCAGAAACTGATCAGTTTTGTTTCCTGAATATTCATTCACTCCTATTATGAATGAGCAAAGTTTTAGGCTTCCTTCTAAATATTGTATATTGCTCCCCTTTCAATATTCTTTTAGCTTTTCCTAATGTTTAGAATAGAACAGAACAGAACAGAACAGAACAGAATAGAATTGAATTCTTTATTGGCCAAGTGTGATTGGACACACAAGGAATTTGTCTTTGGTGCATACGCTCTCAGTGTACATAAAAAGAAAAGATACATTCGTCAAGAATCAAGGTACAACATAGTCATAGAGAAACAGTCAATATAAATCTTAAGGATACAAGCAACAAAGTTACAGTCATACAGTTATAAGTGGGAGGAGATGGGTGATAGGAACGATGAGAAGATTAATAGTAGTGCAGACTTAGTGAATAGTTTGACAGTGTTGAGGGAATTATTTGTTTAGCAGAGTGATGGCATTCGGGAAAAAACTGTCTTTGTGTCTAGTTGTTCTGGTGTGCAGTGCTCTATAGCGTCGTTTTGAGGGTAGAAGTTGAAATAGTTTATGTCCAGAATGCGAGGGGTCTGTAAATATTTTCCCAGCCCTTTTTTTGACTCGTGCAGTATACAGGTCCTCCATGGGAGGCAGGTTGGTAGCCATTGTTTTTTCTGCAGTTCTAACTATCCTCTGAAGTCTGTGTCTGTCTTGTTGGGTTGCAGAGCCAAACCAGACTCTGGTTATGGAGGTGCAGATGACAGACTCAATAGTTCCTCTGTAGAGCTGTATCAGCAGCTCCTTGGGCAGTTTGAGCTTTCTGAGTTGGTGCAGAAAGAACGTTCTTTGTTGTGCTTTTTTGATGATGTTTTTGATGTTAACTGTCCATTTTAGATCTTGCAATATGGTAGAATCTAGAAATTTGAAGGTCTCTACTGTTGATACTGTATTGTGAGAGGTGGAAGTATGGAAGGGTTTCTCCTAAAGTCTACTACCATTTCTATTTTTGGTGATAAAACATCTTTTGAAAATATCAGTAACATCAGGAAATATTCATTCAATTTAAAGCTTCACATTAGTTTAAATAATCATTTTGAAATACTGCTTTAATGTGAATCAGCTTCATGGTCTTTTTTATTTTCCCTTAGATGGCCAGTAGCTGGCAGTAGCGGCATTTGCATTTAACATTTTCCTTCTGGTCTGCAGGGCTTAGAATCACAGAATTGGAAGGGACCTTGGAGATCTTCTAGTCCAACCTCCTGCTCGAGCAGGAGACCTAATGCCATTCCGGACCTAGACATTCTGGCTGTCTAATCTCTTCTTGGAAACCCAGTTCATGGAGCATCCACAACTTCTGGAGTTAGTCTGCAGTTTCCTGGATCCATTCCCCCAGCTCAGAAGGACCAGGCATTTTTAGGCTCTCCAACATTCAGGTGGAGGATGGATGGCCATCTATTTGGGATTCTTGCATTAAATGCCCCCTTCCCAACGCTACAATTTTATTATTTGGAGGGCAATAAAATAATTAGAAGTAGCTTTTGAAGCAAGAGTAAGGGCATTGCATTCTTCAACCTCATCATGTTAGCTTTAGTGGTTAAGGAACCAGGCTAGAAACCTAGGAATTGTGAGTTCTAGACCTGCCTTAGTCCTGCCTTGTTGACTCAGCATTCCATCTTTCCAAGGTCAGTAAAATGAGGATCCAGATTGTTGGAGGCAATATGCTGACTCAGTAAATGCTCGGAGAGTGCTGTAAAACACTGTGAAGTCTTAAGTGCTATTGCCTTAAGCACGAAAGCCAACTGGATGACTTTGAGCCAGTCACACTTTCTCTTTTTTTAAAAAAAGTTTTGTTTTATTACTACACATTATGACAAACACATAATATACAACAACCTTGTTGTTCTGCCAGGCCGGGCTATCAATGTAAAGATTTTAATTGGTTTTAAATGTGGGATTTTAAATTTGGGGGATTTTATAATTGAGCCAATTATTTAATAATTTTAATTATTTTGAAATTTTGTCTGTCTTTGTGCTTTTAATCAGGCTGTATATCGCCCTGAGTCTTTCGGGAGAAGGGCGGTATAGAAATAAAATTAATAAAATAAATATAAATATATCCTCTTTTTAACAAGTGTTTCTTCGTGGTCTGCTTTCTACTGTGACTTCTGCCCCCCCATGTCTCTCAAAACCCATTAATGCTTAACTTTTTTTCCCCTTAGAACAATTAGCTAAAATATATATATTTTATATATATATATATATATATATAAATATATATATGTTACATATTTTACATTTTATATTCTCCCCTATTTTTGTGTTGTTCTTTATTTCTGCTCTCAAGCCATTCATACCATTTGTTCCAAATTGTATAATAATCTGTCTCTTCTTTTTCTTTAATTTCTTTTGTTAAACTTGTCCATCTCAACTTTTTTTATCACTTCATCTGTTGGTGTTTCTTCCTGTTTCCATTTTTGTGCGTATGTTATTCGGGCCGTTATGTGTAAGATCAGATATTTTATTTCTTTGGTATATGTTCTTGTAAATATTCCTAGTAGAAATGTTTCCAGTTTTTTTTCTATTGGTTGATCTGTTATTTTTTTTTTAACCATTTTATATTTGTCCAGAATTTTTTTGCTGCCGGGCATGTCCACTATAGATGGTAATAGATTCTGTGGGTTTTCTTACACTTCCAACACATTGGGTCATTATTTGGGAACATCTTTGCGATTCTTGTCAGTGGTAAATGCCATCTATAAAACATCTTCAACTAGTTTTCCTTGTATGCCGCTGATGTTAATTTTGAATTTACTTGCCATGTTTCCGACTTATCCAAATCTACTGTATAATTAAAGTTCTATGCCCATTTAATCACTGAATCTTTCACTATCTTCTCTTCCATTTTATAATTTAGTAAAAATTTATATAACTTGCTAATTAGTTTTTCATCTGTCCCTAATATAATTTTATCTAATTAGTGATGTTCTCTTTGTATTTCATATGTTTTTGTGTCTTCTTTATGTTTGGATTGGATTTGTATATATATCCACCAATCTATATTTCTGTTCAAATCCGATTCCAGTTCTTGTTTTGATTTCAGTTTTCCTTGTTGATCTATTAGGTCTTTGTATCTTATTATTTTATTTAATTGTGTGGGTGTTTTAATATTTCTGTCGGTGAAAGCCAAATTGGTATTTTTGTATAGTGGTATTTTTTAATTTTCAACCAAATTTGTAATAATGCATTTCTTATTATATGTCTCTTAAAGTAACTATGTGTTTTATATTTTCCATCCCAGAGACAAGCGTGCCATCCTACTTGTAGATCATGGCCTTCTATCACTCATATTCTCTCATTCCTTAGTTCTATCCATTCCTTTAACCATGTTATTCCAGCAGCTTGATAATATAATTCCCATTCTGGGAGTGCTACTCCCCCTCTGTCTTTTGTATCCTGTAGAAATTTAAGTTTAATTCTTGGTCACTTTCCCTGCCATGCAATTTTGGTAATTCTTTTAATTAATGTTTCAAAAAACTTTTTTTCCAATTTTATTGGTCACACTTTCTCAGTCTAAGAGCCAGCAGCTCTTTATCCTGGCTAACCCACCTCACGGGGTTGTGTTGAGAGAAATAGGGGGAGGAAGGAGTATTAGGGGTCATTTTTCCCCATTGCTCATGATAGATTCCCCCGGCCCCACCTCTGGCAGAAAATGCATTACTGGGTTAAACTTTGCTGCCCTGATCACTGCTGCCAACCGTGGGGTCCTAATTAAGTGAAGCTAGAGGTTTGGGTAAACTTTGTGGTCTCCCAAAAATTTAACCAGCCAGTAAACAGAAGAGAGCAGCAGATGTAGGGACTTTTAAAAGACTCTTGATATGAGGGAAGGAACTCGTAGAGATTTTGGTAAATTGAAGGCTTTTCCAGCCTCTGTGAATTTTTTCCAGGGATTCTACACATACAAAACAAGAATACTTAGTGTGGCTCTTTAATTAACTCTTACACCCAAGAAGTGCTGATGAAGGAACATAAGAGAGATAGAAGAGGGTACTCAAAAGTGCTCAGTGTGATGAAAAGATCGTCTGTTCATTCATAAATGGATGCCTGAAAGACAATTTACACATGTGGGTTAATCTTTTGCATAGGGCTAGCTATCACAAAAAAATTCTGGCCGCTCTACAGAGTAAAATAAAAAATTATAAAATAAAATAAAATAAAAAATATACAATAGGTATAAACAGAAAAAATATGGAATAAAGTAAATTGTTTTATTCTATCTATAAAGGTGGGACCATATAAGTACCCTCTTTCCCTTAAAATAAGACATCCCCTGATGATAAGCCCAATCGGGCTTTTGAGTGCATGCACTAAAATAAGCCCCCCCCTTGAAAATAAGCCCTCCTTGAAAATATTTAAATGCATGCAGCGCCAGTCCCTGCCATTTCCTCTGGTTTCCTCCACGTGCCCCAAAATAATAAGACCACCTTGAAAATAAGGCCAAGCGCTTATTTTGGGGTTCAAAAAATATAAGATAGGGTCTTATTTTCGGGAAAACATGGTAGCAGCACAGATTTTTAAAAAATCACAATGTTGCCAAAGCTATTTGTTTAAATTTGTTTTTTAAAAGCCTTGAATAGATTAAAAATTGCCAAAAGAATCTACAAAGCAAAGAGGAATTTTCTCTACAGCCATTCTTGGCATCATTAGGAAGGAAGGCAAATAGCACAGCTGAGTAACAATGCCCTTATTCTAATCTCCTGGGACCACACGTGGTCATCCTAAGGAGGATAGGAAAGGGCTCAGAATGACGGTGCAAAAAGGAACAACCAAATCACGTGTGTGTGTGTGTGTGTGTGTGAACAGCTGGCCTTAAAGAAGTCCACCAGCACTGGGGCTGGTGTTCAGATGGCAGACATAAGACAGGCATTCACAATCGTGCCCGTCAAGAGACCGTAAGGGCTGAAAGCAGCTCTCCTCCCTTTCTCACAATCTGAGATCTCGGGGTCACCCTAAAACTAAGTGCAGGGGGATTCAGATTCACAGAGTGTGTAGTGAAACCATGAAATCTGTTCCCAGGAGTTGTGGGAATGGCGGGCCCAGGGAGGGCTGTAGGCAGGGAGGCCCTCAAAGGATGTGGGTTGGTTCTCTGTGGTGCCAGACGGTGGGACAAGTTACAGGGACATCTCCCTACTCGAAGGAAGGAGAGATTTCCAGGCCACGGGGGGGGGGATATTACTCCCTCGTCCTTTCGTCTGGGATGGGCTGAAGGTTCGTCCCCTGGCCAGAGGGTTGGTCTTGGTCTTGATTTTGAAGGCCTGCAAGGTGCCTCCCAGCCCTGGCGTTCCATGGGTCATTCCTTTGTGCTGGCAATGGCAATGATGGTAATAAAGACCGATTTGAGTCCCCTCTGATCCCAGGCAGCCGATTGCTGGGAAGGGGCAGAAGGGCTCCAGCCTTCCAGTCCAGGCTTGGCACCTTTCCCAAACACCCTGTTGGCCCTCGGCTGCTCAGAAGGCTGAGCCTGGTGAGGCTGGGCCTAGGGCCGCTGGCAGGGAATCTCCTGCTGGGTCGCAAGTTCATCTCTTAATGGCTCTGGTTTCGCTTTTTTTATTTTTCTGTTTTCGTATTTTTAAGTTTCTGATTTGCTGACCTCCCCCCTCCCGTTCGATACATTCATGCACACCCCTAAGAGACATAAATGAAAATAAACGTATTGGGGACAGGAAAAGCAGTGTACCATCACTGCCCTCTCTCCCCTGCCACCTGTGCCCATTGGGCAAAGTCTGACTTAGATGCTTCCCTGCCACAGCAGCAGCGAAGGGTCTCAAAGAGAGGCCAGGAATGCCATCCGGCTGCCCTTGGTCTCGCCACATCCTGTGTCCAGTCCTGGACTAGGTTTGGGCTTCATTGCCTGGGCTGGCATGCCTTCTCTAGCATTAAAAGGAATGCTGACCGTTGTACCATTTGCGTAATCGAAATGTTCATTGACTGCTGGGCTGAATATCTGAAATAAGCCTAAGGGGAATGTCAGCCTGAAAAGAGCTGCTCCTTTTAGTTATCGGAGACTTGAGGTTCTCTGAAGGTCACGCCTCCTCTGCTACAGTCATGAAAAATGGTGGGGCTTTCTTGCTGCCCTAGTTGGGGTCAGGGAACTAACCATCATCTGTAAGACTGGGGGGGAGGGGCCTTTATGTTTCAGGAGAACCAGTTATGTCAAGTCCAGGATACTATTGTCAGTTTACAAGGTGTGCCAAGCCATCTCTAAGAGCAGAGATAAAAATGCACCATTAAAATTAATGGAGCAAAACTAAGTTGGTAGTCCTCGTGCTCACCTAGTTAACAGGCCCTAATCAATTAACAGGAAGCACTTTTTCCTCTCCTGCTTGGGTGGGGGGTTGGACTAGATGACCTACAAGGTCCCTTCCAACTCTGTTAATCTGTTAATCTTTGCATACCCGTCTAGAGATAAAACACTGGTGAAGCCTTATCAGTTACTCACTCTTGTGAAGTTCTACAATCCCCATGTAAGCAGGCAGAATGGTCTCCCCCCAGGTGCCCACGGGGGTTTGCATCCTCTGATTGGTCCACACCAGCTCCAGGCCATTCTCAGTCTTGATGCAACAGCTGGGCCCCTGGGATGGGATGGGTCCTGGTAAGCACTTCTCTGACGGCTCCGCCACCGCCACGGGCCCAGGAGGTGGACCCTTGGCAACTGCTTCCCCCTAAGAAAAGCAGAAAGGAGATCACTTGGCTGGAAGGGCCACACCTGGCTCAAGAGGGAAGAGGCCAGCAGATGCCCCCTGGGAAGCTCTGGGGTGCCTTTGGACCAGTTCCTTTCGCAGCAGTTCAGGATTGCTGTGGCGGAGGCGAGGGGAGCTCAGATTTACATGCTGGTTGTCCAGCCAGCAGCTCTTTCTCCTGGCTCCCCAGGTCATTCCTGCATACCATTGCAAGAAGGAAGAGCACATGGCTTTGAGGGCCAGGAGGAAGAGCAGCCGCCAAGGCAATGGGCAGAGAAGAGGGGCTTGAGCCGAGAACAGAGTGTGAGTCAATATCACAGAAAGATGTTCTCATGAAGCGAAGGAAGGAGGGGGAAGCACATTCAGACTTGCAAGATTCTGTGACTGCAGCTTTGGAATAAAAGTCATAATGTCCTGCAAGGCATTGGGGTTCCTTAGTCCAGACAAATTCCAAAAGTACAAAACTGATTGTGCCATTTCAGGCTTGGTGTGGAAACGCCATTTGAACATTTAACATAGGGGCGCCATTTACTTTGGGAAATGAGACAGTCCCTCCCAATATCTAAAGCTCTGCAGCTCCAAATGCCACGTCCTCATCTTGGGTGGGCGGTTGCTGATCAGCCCAAGCATGGTGGAGGGAGAAAAGAGAATTCCAGGTGCAGCCCAGGAATCTGAGATGGGACAGTGCGATGGGGCATTGCATGCCAGGACAATGAGACTAAAGGGACAGTTTCTTCTCTCGTGCCATCCCTCTGCCGAACACTGAATTCTCACAGCTGACAAAACAACAATAACAATAGCACTTAGACTTATATACCGCTTCATAGTGCTTTTCCCTCCAACAATCTGGGTCCTCATTTTACCCACCTCGGAAGGATGGAAGGCTGAGCTGGTCAGAATTGAACTCCTGGAGTGAGCAGGGAGTTAGCCTGCAGTACTGCATTCTAACTACTGCGCCACCAGGGCCCTTAAACACAGTAAAAATACAGCAACTACTATGTGTTTTGTCTCATGTGTATGTATATTAACCCTTGGGGGTGTGGCTGTTGGAGGGCAGGAGGCTGGCTGTGCAGACTTTCACTCTGAGTTTGCTGCTTGATACCGTTGTGTCATCATGCTTATTTCAAGCTTTTAATTAGCATACAAATATATTATACAAATATGATAAAATAATAAAAAAAATAATAAAGTGTCCTTTCAGCTACATTTTTAAAGATTAAAAGTGCGTATATGAAAAAGAGACTCTGTTGCTTGGAATTTGGCAAAAGAGAGTCCTTGCATATTACCCAGGGGAGGATCAGAGTCAGACATTCAGTTCACCGAATGGTGTTGTCTTAGCAAGACAGCAGTTTCATGCCTACCTGAATCCCTCCGGTGTCTTTCAGAATCAAGCGCAACAGGCGAATATATTCAGCTGTGGCTTTAAGCATGTCCACCTTACTTGGCTTCCGGTCTTTTGGAATCAACGGGACAATTGATTTCAGCTTGGAAAAGCCACTGTTCAGATTCTTGATCTGTTTAGACAAAAAGGTGAGGTGAGGTGAGGTGAGGTGATCAGAGACAGCTGCAGGTCTTGTTGATACTTGTCTGTGTGAGGAGAGAGAGAAAAGTTGCAGGTGGCAATTTCATTAGGAGAAACAAATAAAATCATGAGCTGTGGTTTAAAAGGCAGCCAAGTTTTAAAAACATGCCAAACATAGTTTTACAAGATTCTTCAGGATATGTAATGTTGGCTGTCTCTCTCAATGCTTTTGTAACGAAGCGTCAGATCAGGCTAAAGACAGGAGTGTCTTTTTTACGTTGTCTCCTCCACAACTATTGCTTTGGTTAGAGTTTTCAGCTGAACAGGTTTTGGAGATGAGTTGGTTCACATATCATGCTAAGCCAAATATGCAGTTGGCTTGGTGTTTCATGATCTTCACCATGATAGTAAAAAATTGGTGGTGTGAATCTATCCAATTACATCTTATTAGATAAACCACAAACAAACCATGATCCAGACTAGGACTGAAAGAGCTACCAGAGGAGGGCATGAAACCCTGGCAGTCTTTCATGCCTTTTGTCTCTAGCAAGGTATGACTGCCAGCCTCTTAATTCAAACCTGATACAACTTGTGTGAATAACCATTGATGCATTTCCATTGCATATTTATGGAATTTTATTTTAGAGTCAACTTTTGAAGCTATTGATAAGAACTCGCTCCAAAAGTGCCAAGAACTGTTTATTGCCCCTTTCTCAGGAAAACTGATGAATCCAACTGTTCCAGAAAAGTCTGGGTTGACCCACAAGCTCCCCAAGGGGTCCGAGTCCATTTCCCCACTACCTCCCAGCGTCTTATCATCTCCACCATGACAAAAAGCCCATCCTTATGACTGTTGCAGCCTTTAATTATAATGATTCATTCTTAAAATATTTGAATCATGCAAAAATAACATTAAACCCATTATGCACTAACAAAAATATTCCCCGTGAAAAAAAACTTTAACAAATAAAAATGAGAAAAGTTGTATTTTTTGGAAATATTTTCATTATTTGGCAAATAATTTTGATTTGGAGGGGCCCCGAGAGGGTCATTGAGGTGTCCAGAGACCCCAGGACCAACTTTAGGAAAGACTGCTCCAAGCCTCCAGAAGGACAGTCTCCTCTCAGGCCTTGGGAATTAAGAACTTGGGGGAAAATTGTACCCAGTTTATGCAAATTCAATGCCGGTTTTTGGAGGCATAATGAAAAAAATCATTTACTGAGGAACTTTCAGAAAGGCAATCTGGGCATTTATAGTGCTTTTTGAAGACGCGCCCCCCCCTCCATGCAGTTACACACGTGGCCCTCTCCCACCATGCAGCTTCTACCTCACTTAGGGCCACAGTTCCCAGAGGGGCACCAGAGTTTGAAGAAGGCAATCCTAACCCATGGGGGAAAGCGTGGAAGAGCACAGCATTAACCTCTAAATGTGGATTCTTCTCTTGAACACAACAGAGAGAGAGATTACAGACATGGCTCCTCCTAGCTGTGCAGCTGGCCTTGAACTCTGGGGTGGGGTGGGGATTTTTTCTTCCCATGGGATTTCCCATGGGAGCAGGGATTTCAAACTCGGCCTTCTCTCTCCTTGGAGACCCCAGATGGGTAGGGATTGCAATTCCCAGCGTTTCTCAGCCAGCCAGCTTGCCATCCCAACACCTCTGGAAGAGAGGAGCACTGGGACACATGGCAAGTTTGCATCTGCTTTCTGCCTGCCTAGACAAACCCTCAGCCCCATCCACCAGTTGCAAGCAGAGACCAGAAACGTCCTGAGGCCTGACCCAAAGCCTCTTTCTGGGAGGAAGATGGGCCGGTGGGGAAGGGCCCCCTGCCTGCTTACCCTCTCCCGCTCTTTGGCATTAGCTGCCCTTCTCCGACCCAGGACTTGCTCTCGGTTCTCAGTGGAGTAATAGTAGCCCGATGGCTTCCTCTTCATCCGTGTAATGGGAGCCATGAAAGGCAGGGGGCCAAACTGCTTGCTTAGGATCTCGCCCAGGACTTCAGCTGGAGGGGCCAGAAAGAGGTGAGGCAGCTGCTGAGAATCCCTGCCGGAGGCTTCCTCAGCCATGCTTGCCCTATATTGCAAAGCAGAGCCATTCATCACGGGAACAAGGCACAGGTGGGGAAAGGGCTCCCAGCTGTGGCAGCTTCTGCCTTGCAGCTTCTTAAGGGGACAGGGATCCAAGAGGAAGGGAGGGACCCAGGTGGCCTGCAGCCTCCCCAGCAGAGGCCATTCCCCTCCGGCAGCACTGCCCTTCCAGAGAGTCTGGGCGTTCAGGCCTCTCTGGTGCTTAGTTTCACCTTGGAGCCCTCGCTTGAATGCTGGGAGCTGAGCGATGGGAAATGGGAGGCTGCAGCCCTCCCTGTGTTAATCACAATTAGCTTGGCTGAACTGAAGCTGCTCCCCCCCCCACAGGCCCCCTTGCTGGAGGTCAGCAGCTTGGCTAATGGCTCACCAGGTGTTCAGCCTCCAGCCAATTAGAGGAGCAAAGTAAGTGTGGTAAGTATAAAGCCAGCACAGTCAGAAAAGTCAAGATGGGGACCACAATGGATCAACTGACACTGTTTGGACCATAAGCCACAGCCTGTCTGGCCAGCTGGATTTCTCAGTGAGACACATCTGGCCCCGGGGCCATTTTGTCCCATCAAAGCTGCTGATTGCTGGTCTTTATGCTGCTCTTTTCCAGGGAGCTCTTCCCCCACAAGTGAGTTTTCTCCCTTTGGAAGACCTCGCGGAGATGCTTTTATTTATCCCTCCTAAACTAAGGGAGGTGGAAAATTTCCCTTGAAGCCAGCAGGAGGGCAGAGGCTTCAAGGGGTGGGGGGACAGAGGCTGGGTCGTCAGTGGCGTCGGCCCCACTGGCTTGGAGGGCTCATGGCCCTGGTTGGCAAGGGGCACTGGGACTGCCCCATTGCAGCCCTGGGACCGGCCCTTCCCTCTTGCCAGGGTGGCTGCTGTGGGGAGCAGATTCTTCTCCCCTTGGGAGAAGGCAGGATGGAGAAGGATGAAGCTGGAGAGACAGGGAGGGGGTGGGGGTGGGGGGTGGGGAGATTCTCCCCATGGTGAGAAAGAGGCTCTTGAGCTCCCAAGGCCCAGCTGCAGCTGGATTGGCCTGCGGGTGCCATGGTGGGGTGTCCAGGAAGGCTCGCAAAGCCCCCCCCTCTCCAGGCTTCTCTGGCAACCAGCCAACCCACAGTTTGTGTCAGCAAGGAGGCTGCTTTCGCCCTTTGCCCTGACCTGCCACCCAAAGTTAATCCCGTGATTTGCCAGGTTGTACAAACATGGATGCCCCCCACCCCGGGACACAGAGGAGTCACCCAATGTGGTGGCAAGACTAAATTGGTATGTGTGTGTGTGTGTGTGTGTGTGTGTCATGGCTGCAGGCCACTTTCACACAAAGCCAGCCAAGTTTTAGGTGCAGCCCCCCCTCCCTTATTACCTGTTGCACTCAAGAGCACAGAAGGTAGCCTTGCCCAATAGTGGCCATCTCTCTCTGGCCAGCTGCTGTGCAGTCCACCTTTCCATGGGGCAGGGCTTTCACCGGAGGTTTTGCCTGCTCTCCCCCCCCCCGCCCCTTCCCCAGCCTTTCTTGCTGAACCAGATTTGGGATTTTTCTCAACCCTGAAAACGGGGAATTATCCTAAACTACTTTTCAAAAGAAGTGACCAACTCCACACAGGAGGCTAAATATGGTTGGAGCTGATTTGTGGTCCTATGTATTTTGTGAACGAAGCCTGAGAATCATTTCCTCTGAAAAAACCCAACTTGTGCTGTTCCAGGGGTGGGGAAAATAGAGTCTGCTAACCAGGTAGTAAAAGTGGTTTAGCGTGTTGTATGATCCTAGCAAGTCATCAGGCCTGGAAGAGAAGGAAATCAAGCAGGTGTGAACCCAGCTGTGCCAGAAGGATCCACAGGGAACTTGATGGGCTGAATGCAATATGGTACGTTCAATAAACCATGTTTAGCAAAGCATAATTTAATGTATGCGAACCAGATGCCAGCGTAATTCCTGGAGGGCAAATATTTTATATCTGTTAAAAAGTAGCATCTTTCACGGTAAACGTTCGCTTTCCCTGCTTATTCTGTTCTGTAATGACTCCCTTGACTTTTCAAGAAAGCGAAAAGACCATCAGCAATCCTGCGGGGCAGGTTGGACTGAGTCACCAGGGAGTTTTCACAGGTGAATCTGAACCAAGATCTCTGATTCAGGAGTTTAATATAACTACAGGCATGGAACTTCTTCAAAAATTGCAGCATTTATGGAGTTCTAAATTGGATGATTGTGTAGTTGATTAAAAGGATTATACACTGAACAATTCTTGCCATAATGTTGTATCTTATCTGTAATTTCCTTTGCAAATAATAGAAAAGGAAAGCTGAGCTGGAGACATTAGTCTTATCAAGGAAGTCGATGTTTATATTTGCATTTGCTCTTTTATTGAGCTGAAGTTGAGCAATAAAAGATTTTACACACAAGGCTAACAAGCGCCTATTCAAATCAGGCACTGCTTGGACTTCCAGGAAGGACTATTTGCGTCTGCTTCACTCAGGTGCAAGTCTCTACATGTTTTAAAATTGCACTCTGTTCGAATCCCTAGTGCCGCGTAACGGGGTGAGCTCCTGTTACTTGTTCCAGCTTCTGCCAACCTAGCATTTCGAAAACAGGTAAAAAAAATGCAAGTAGAAAAATAGGGACCACCTTGGTGGGAAGCATTCTCTGTGCCTTTAGTGTTGAGTCATGCCAGCCATATGACCATGGTCTTCGGACAGCGCTGGCTCTTTGGCTTTGAAATGGAGATGAGCACCACCGCCTAGAATTGGGAATAATTAGCATATATGTGCGAGGGGAACCTTTACCTTTACCTTTTTAGTTGACAGTTATATTTCCTGTTATATGGAGAAGCCGAACATTGAAGAGAGATTTCAGAAGGGCCCCCAGAACCCCCATTCAGCATTGCCCAGCTCTCAAGAGCTTGGGGGCCTCTTTTTGACCTCAATAGAATAGAATAGAATAGAATAGAATAGAATAGAATAGAATAGAAGAATAGAATAGAATAGAATAGAATAGATAGAATAGAATAGAATAGAATAGAATAGAATAGAATAGAAACCAGTTTGTGGGGGCAATAAGTTGACTTTGTATAAATATACAAAAGTATGAAGGCTATTGCTTAACTCATTGTAAGGGGCGGCATATAAATCAAATTAAAAAAAATTCTTTATTGGCCAAGTGTGATTGGACACACTAGGAATTTGTCTTGATGCATATTTTATTTATTTATTTATTTAAATTTTTATACCGCCCTTCTCCCAAAGGACTCAGAGCGGTGTACAGCCATACTAAAACAACATATACCCATAAAATTTAAAAACAGTTTAAAATATATTAAAAATTTGGCCCTTATATTAAAAAACTACAAACACCCAATTAAAATTCATTTTCTAAGCCAGCCCAGCCTGTTGAAACAATAGAGTCTTAAGGGCACGGCGAAAGATACGTAGGTTGGGGATCATGCGAATCTCCGGGGGATATGCTCTCAGTATACATAAAAGAAAAGATACATTCATCAAGAATCATAAGGTGATCTATCACTTAATGATAGTCATAGGGAAACAGTCAATATAAATCTTAAGGATATCAGCAACAAGGTTACAGTCATACAGTCATAAGTGGAAGGAGATGGGTGATAGGAACAATGAGAAGATTAATAGTAGTGCAGACTTAGTGAATAGTTTGACCATGTTAAGGGAATTATTTGTTTAGCAGAGTGATGGTGTTTGGGAAAAAACCTGTCCTTGTGTCTAGTTGTTCTGGTGTGCAGTGCTCTATAGCATCGTTTTGAGGGTAGGAGTTGATACAATTTATGACCAGGATGCAAGGGGTCTGTAAATATTTTCAAAGCCCTCTTTTTGACTCGTGCAGTATACACGTCCTCAATGGAAGGCAGGTTGGTAGCCATTGTTTTTTCTGCAGTTCTAAATGATCCTCTGAAGTCTGTGTCTGTCTTGTTGGGTTGCAGAGCCAAACCAGACAGTTATGGAGGTGCAGATAACAGACTCAATAATTCCTCTGTAGAACTGGATCAGCAGCTCCTTGGGCAGTTTGAGCTTTCTGAGTTAGCACAGAAAGAACGCTCTTTGTTGTGCTTTTTTGATGATGTTTTTGATGTTGGGTGTCCATTTTAAGTTGTGTGATATGGTACAACCAAATAAGTTGACCAGAACTGGACACAGGATTCCAAGTGTGGCCTTATTAGTGTGGTATAAAGTGGTATTATCACGTCATGTGATCTTATTAGTATCCCTCTGTTGATGCACCCCAGAATTGCATTGGCTTTTTTGGGTGGCTGCCTCATATTTAAGTGGCGGTTCACCAGACCCCTGGATCCCTCTCACAGTTACTGCTGTTGAGGTCACCACTGAGTTTGCAGAGTGATGAGGTTAGTGGTCTCAAACATGCCAAAGTTTCCAAATGGGGACAGCTGAAGCAGGAAACAATAGTAACAAGAATCTGATCTCTCCTTCCTGCTGATGAACCTGCAACCTCTGTGAGGAGTGCTAAAGATTGCCATGAAATGCCAGCAGGCTTTATCAGATATGCAGATAAGACCTGGAGGAAGAGCAAAGGCTGAAAGTGTGGAAAGTTGGATCTAGCCCAATAACTCAAAGACAAATTCCAATCTTTTAATCTTTATCTTTATTGCAGACCTAGGTGGATCCTAGGTCTAGTGGTACTGGAGGTCACTGACCTTGTACCTCTCTCTTTCAGGTATACATCTGGATCAACCGGAGTACCTCCTGGTTGGAGCTATTATACCCAGGAGGAGGGGCTAGGAGGTAAGGAGTGGCTACAGGGGTTATGGGATATGTGGTCAGTTAACCCTTGCAGGACCGGGTGGCCAGGGAGGTGGTACTGTTAGACATTTACCATGACAGAAAGGGTTCCTGCTTCCTCAGGGCACAGCTGTAACCCAAGTGACTCGGGTCTTTATTTTGCACTCCAGAAAGTCAGAAGGAAGGCCTCTCAGTGTGGTTAATAGGCTGCACTTTGCTTTTGTGGTTCAGTTGCAGGAAGAGTCAGCAGGCCTCACCAGGAATATCAGTGACACCCTCTCAAATATTGGAAGATTGGAATCGTGTCACCTCTAGTCCTCCCGTTCATTAGACTAGACACACTCTGTCCTGCAACCATTTGTGGTTGTCCACTAGGACTCCTAGATCCCTCTTGCTGCTGTTGAGCCAGGTACCACCTATGTCCTATTCTATACCTGTGCATTTCGGGGGTTTTGCCCAAATACAGGACCTTGCTTTTCTCCCCTCTGAATTTCATTTTGTTGGATAGGGCCCAATGTTCTGTCAAGATCCTTCTGAATTTGAGTCTATTTTCTAAAGTGTTGGCTCTTCCTCAGTGGTGGGATTCAGCCAGTTCGCATCACTTCGGGAGAACCGGTTGTTAATTTTCTGAGCAGTTTGGCAAAGTGGTTGTTGGAAGAAATCATTGGGGCAGAGAACCGGTTGTTAAATTAATTGAATTCCACCACTGCTCTTCCTCCTAACTAACTTGGTGTTTTCAGCAAATCGGATAAGTTCCCTTTCTATCTCCTTATCCTGGGGGAAAAAGGAGCATGTTTGCTGTGTTGGCTGCCAGAATGCCTGAAAGTATTATTTAAATCATGCTGTTTGGTCAGTTTTATTGGGCAAAGCCATCTCATTTTCTCCAGAGTGCCAGGAGTTCAAGGGATCCCCTGGCTGCCTCCTTTGAGATTTCCTTACCTAAAAACGAAGGAGCCTTTTTTCTCCTGAGCATCTGACAGAGGAGGGGAGGGGGCATAATTCAGCCATTGTTTTGTAGGTAACTATCTTTTCTCCTTTGTGGTTACTGTTAATTAAACCAAGGAAAACCTAAGAAAGGCTAAGAAGGCCTTGGAGGCCTGCAGGGAGAGCTTTCCTTCAAGAGGTATGAGTTCCTCCCTCCCTAGCCGGTCTCAGGGATGGGTCGGGAGCACCGATCCATGGTTTTCATAGCCAGTTTGCCCAAAAACTGCACTCCAGCACATCTGCCGAGCACTGAAGTGGGGAAAGCAGAAATAAGAACTGGTGTCTTCTTTCTGCAATAATAGAATAGAATAGAATAGAATAGAATAGAATAGAATAGAATAGAAACCAGTTTGTGGGGGCAATAAGTTGACTTTGTATAAATATACAAAAGTATGAAGGCTATTGCTTAACTCATTGTAAGGGGCGGCATATAAATCAAATTAAAAAAAAATTCTTTATTGGCCAAGTGTGATTGGACACACTAGGAATTTGTCTTGATGCATATTTTATTTATTTATTTATTTAAATTTTTATACCGCCCTTCTCCCAAAGGACTCAGAGCGGTGTACAGCCATACTAAAACAACATATACCCATAAAATTTAAAAACAGTTTAAAATATATTAAAAATTTGGCCCTTATATTAAAAAACTACAAACACCCAATTAAAATTCATTTTCTAAGCCAGCCCAGCCTGTTGAAACAATAGAGTCTTAAGGGCACGGTGAAAGATACGTAGGTTGGGGATCATGCGAATCTCCGGGGGATATGCTCTCAGTATACATAAAAGAAAAGATACATTCATCAAGAATCATAAGGTGATCTATCACTTAATGATAGTCATAGGGAAACAGTCAATATAAATCTTAAGGATATCAGCAACAAGGTTACAGTCATACAGTCATAAGTGGGAGGAGATGGGTGATAGGAACAATGAGAAGATTAATAGTAGTGCAGACTTAGTGAATAGTTTGACCATGTTAAGGGAATTATTTGTTTAGCAGAGTGATGGCGTTTGGGAAAAAACCTGTCCTTGTGTCTAGTTGTTCTGGTGTGCAGTGCTCTATAGCATCGTTTTGAGGGTAGGAGTTGATACAATTTATGACCAGGATGCAAGGGGTCTGTAGATATTTTCAAAGCCCTCTTTTTGACTCGTGCAGTATACACGTCCTCAATGGAAGGCAGGTTGGTAGCCATTGTTTTTTCTGCAGTTCTAATGATCCTCTGAAGTCTGTGTCTGTCTTGTTGGGTTGCAGAGCCAAACCAGACAGTTATGGAGGTGCAGATAACAGACTCAATAATTCCTCTGTAGAACTGGATCAGCAGCTCCTTGGGCAGTTTGAGCTTTCTGAGTTAGCACAGAAAGAACGCTCTTTGTTGTGCTTTTTTGATGATGTTTTTGATGTTGGGTGTCCATTTTAAGTTGTGTGATATGGTACAACCAAATAAGTTGACCAGAACTGGACACAGGATTCCAAGTGTGGCCTTATTAGTGTGGTATAAAGTGGTATTATCACGTCATGTGATCTTATTAGTATCCCTCTGTTGATGCACCCCAGAATTGCATTGGCTTTTTTGGGTGGCTGCCTCATATTTAAGTGGCGGTTCACCAGACCCCTGGATCCCTCTCACAGTTACTGCTGTTGAGGTCACCACTGAGTTTGCAGAGTGATGAGGTTAGTGGTCTCAAACATGCCAAAGTTTCCAAATGGGGACAGCTGAAGCAGGAAACAATAGTAACAAGAATCTGATCTCTCCTTCCTGCTGATGAACCTGCAACCTCTGTGAGGAGTGCTAAAGATTGCCATGAAATGCCAGCAGGCTTTATCAGATATGCAGATAAGACCTGGAGGAAGAGCAAAGGCTGAAAGTGTGGAAAGTTGGATCTAGCCCAATAACTCAAAGACAAATTCCAATCTTTTAATCTTTATCTTTATTGCAGACCTAGGTGGATCCTAGGTCTAGTGGTACTGGAGGTCACTGACCTTGTACCTCTCTCTTTCAGGTATACATCTGGATCAACCGGAGTACCTCCTGGTTGGAGCTATTATACCCAGGAGGAGGGGCTAGGAGGTAAGGAGTGGCTACAGGGGTTATGGGATATGTGGTCAGTTAACCCTTGCAGGACCGGGTGGCCAGGGAGGTGGTACTGTTAGACATTTACCATGACAGAAAGGGTTCCTGCTTCCTCAGGGCACAGCTGTAACCCAAGTGACTCGGGTCTTTATTTTGCACTCCAGAAAGTCAGAAGGAAGGCCTCTCAGCGTGGTTAATAGGCTGCACTTTGCTTTTGTGGTTCAGTTGCAGGAAGAGTCAGCAGGCCTCACCAGGAATATCAGTGACACCCTCTCAAATATTGGAAGATTGGAATCGTGTCACCTCTAGTCCTCCCGTTCATTAGACTAGACACACTCTGTCCTGCAACCATTTGTGGTTGTCCACTAGGACTCCTAGATCCCTCTTGCTGCTGTTGAGCCAGGTACCACCTATGTCCTATTCTATACCTGTGCGTTTCGGGGGTTTTGCCCAAATACAGGACCTTGCTTTTCTCCCCTCTGAATTTCATTTTGTTGGATAGGGCCCAATGTTCTGTCAAGATCCTTCTGAATTTGAGTCTATTTTCTAAAGTGTTGGCTCTTCCTCAGTGGTGGGATTCAGCCAGTTCGCATCACTTCGGGAGAACCGGTTGTTAATTTTCTGAGCAGTTTGGCAAAGTGGTTGTTGGAAGAAATCATTGGGGCAGAGAACCGGTTGTTAAATTAATTGAATTCCACCACTGCTCTTCCTCCTAACTAACTTGGTGTTTTCAGCAAATCGGATAAGTTCCCTTTCTATCTCCTTATCCTGGGGGAAAAAGGAGCATGTTTGCTGTGTTGGCTGCCAGAATGCCTGAAAGTATTATTTAAATCATGCTGTTTGGTCAGTTTTATTGGGCAAAGCCATCTCATTTTCTCCAGAGTGCCAGGAGTTCAAGGGATCCCCTGGCTGCCTCCTTTGAGATTTCCTTACCTAAAAACGAAGGAGCCTTTTTTCTCCTGAGCATCTGACAGAGGAGGGGAGGGGGCATAATTCAGCCATTGTTTTGTAGGTAACTATCTTTTCTCCTTTGTGGTTACTGTTAATTAAACCAAGGAAAACCTAAGAAAGGCTAAGAAGGCCTTGGAGGCCTGCAGGGAGAGCTTTCCTTCAAGAGGTATGAGTTCCTCCCTCCCTAGCCGGTCTCAGGGATGGGTCGGGAGCACCGATCCATGGTTTTCATAGCCAGTTTGCCCAAAAACTGCACTCCAGCACATCTGCCGAGCACTGAAGTGGGGAAAGCAGAAATAAGAACTGGTGTCTTCTTTCTGCAATGATGGCTAATGGCCACTGCTGCTCTTAGCAATCCTCCATGACTTGCCACATTAAACTTTGCTTATTTTAACTATGTTCAAGAAGGGTTGGGTTTTGGGCTTGGGAGGAAGAAACAGCAATCTGAAGATGACTTCACGAAAAGCGGAGCTGATGACTGCGGTGAGATTAATAGACCAGCTCTTTATAATTCCTTTCCCAAGTCTTCAGCTGCTCCTCTCAAAAGAGCCAGTCTCCAGAGGGAGTAGCTCAAACCTTTGAAGGTTCAAATGCTTGCTTTCCTAATCACTTCTGGAAGTCCCTTGTTCAACTGCTTTTCAACTTTTAGAATCATTTGGATCAGCGTGTTTGATATCACCTGGTGAATTTCCTTCAATTCTTAGTGAAATAAATTTTATCTACAAGTTTAAGAACTTAAATTTTTTTAAATAAACAGCAAAAAGGTGATTAAAACTTTGATTTTAGAAAGTTAAAAATGGACTAAAGGTCCAGATAAATGGGAAATATGTTTTGGGAATTAATCATAATGAATTTTCCTCTGGGAAAATGATTTTGTTTTGATTTAAAAAAAAAAGATTTTAAAAATTGGACACTAGAGGGAACTAAAGTTTACAATTAAAGGAGAAGAGCCCAAATATAAAAAGAACCAAAATATTCTAACATTGAACATATTGAAGGATATTTGTGAAAATATTAATTAATATTAATAACACTTAATTAACATTAATAGCGTCAGTAGATACATATGCACCTGTGGAGATACTATGGAAGAGGATCAGGTTTTAAAACTTGGAATCATAGGGTTGGGAGAGACCTTGAAAATCCCTGCTCGAGGAGGAGACCTTATACCATTCTGGACAAATGGTTGTATAATCTCCTCTTGAAAACCTTCAGTGATGCAGCACCTGCAACCTCTGTTCCACTGATTAATTGTTCTCAATATCAGGAAATTTCTCCTCGGTTCCAGGTTGGATCTCTGTTTAATGAGTGTCCACCGGGTTACTTCTTGTCCTGTGCTTTGAAGAACAAAGTCGATCCCCCGTCCTCTGTGACAGCCACTCGGTTACCGGAAGACTGCTATCATATTTGTGGGAAGGGTCGGCTCGAGTCTCCATCCGGGAGAAACGGGAGTGCCACCAAAGGAAGAAAGAAGCCGGCTGCCTGAAAAGAAAGGCCAGAAGCGGCTACAGCAATCAGTTCTGGGACAGCTGACCAGTCGGTTTGGTGAGTTTGATGGGTTTTTATACATTTTTGGTGTTTCGCAATTTTTGAGTTTGGATGTGTGTGTCTTTTATTATTTAATTAATGTTGTTTTGTTGCCCACTCAAGGTTGTGACTGGCCCCAAGGCGGGGGAAATGTTAATCCTCGGTATTCGTTTCCTTCATCTAATCCTATCAGTTTGATTTAATCCTTTTCAGCTTGTTTCCGTTGTGTTGCCTGTTTGGAGATTGTTGGTGCTGCTGTGCTTTCCTAGTGAATGGGGAAGGTCCAGATTTATGAATGAAACATTGTTTTCATTCGTGGATCTTAGTCTCACTCAGGCGGCTTGCTTGAGGCTCTTTCCCAGGGCCGAAGCGGAGCTTTTGGGCAAATTTCTTTTCTTCCTAACTTCAGGCTATTTCTAGGGTTGGGGAAGGAGGGGTGAGGGAGAAGTGGGAGTCCCACCATATATTACCCATAATCCTTCTCTTCATTAGATTACACTTACCTAGTTCCCTTATCCAGTCATTGTAGGTCTTAACCTCCAGACTCTTTAATATTATAAAATAATTGTTTACATAATTAAAAGGGATTTAAAAACAAATAAAGAGAATGACTTGGATAATGTTCTTACATTTCTTATAGTCATGATGATTTATGGATTTGTTTATAGTTAAGAGATGGAAGGAGAGCAAAGTTGGTGCCAGGGTTAAGCTGTCGGGCTAGAAACTGGGAGAAGAGGGCGAATTCTAGGCCCACTTTGGGCAGGAGTCCCAGGTAAAAAATAATGCTTATAGTTCTCTAGTCTGAGAGTGCAAATGAACAAGAAAGGAATAGCATCAACGACGTCATCATCCACCCGATATCTTGTCATCTTTTCTTCAGGATCTGACATCAAAGTGGAAACAGTTTAAAGTTCTGGGAAGAGAAGCAGGGATAAGATGATCCTCAAATATCTGACACAAAAAATGAAAGCCATCATCTCTCCTTTCTTGTTCCAAAGAACAGCACGTGGAGTAACCGATTTAAGTTAGTGGAATTGGAAGTCCTGGGTATGGAAGCCCTTCCCAACAGTTTCAGATATTTGAATCTGGATCTCTGCATGGCACAGTGGAGGAAACCTGATGACCAAAATAATTCTATATTTTAGACGTTTCAAGACTTTCCATTTTGTTTCTGCAAAAGAGCGATAACGGCTGAAGTTGCTAATGGAAGAACTGTCTGTGCTTAGTCCAGACAAATCTGTTGCACGCTCATTGAGCAGATATCTCTGACTCTCAAGGCTGGGAAAAGAACGTGGACGTGGAAAAAGTGGCGGAAGTAACACAGAATTTAAACCTGAGAGTAGGCATGTGATCATAAGCTTGATTTCTGGGTTCTGCGGTTGGCAGATTTTCTGCATATAAAAGATCTGCTGACTTTAAATAAAATAAAACAAGAAAGAAGAGGGCTTGGGAGCTTTCAAAAGGAATGCTGGAACCAATTATGGGCTTCAGTGAATCCTAGGACTGTGGAGCTGGAAGGCACCAGAGGGATCATGTATAGTGTGCGGATTTGTAGCATTGTCAAGATGTAGCGGCCCAATACCTCCAGGGATGGAGAATGCACAACTTCCAAGGGAGGCCTTTCTACTGGTGATCAGACTTTTCCATCAGGAAGTTTTCCCTATACAGCATTTGAATGAAATCTTATACCTGTTACTTCTGGTGCTGGTATCTGTGGGCCTGGAAAATAATTCTTACCATTTTCGTGGTAGCTTTCCTGGAAGTGCCTGAACCCTGGTATCCGGGCTCCCCTCTATCCTCTTTTCTCTAGATTGAGCACTATCCTGAAAGGGCAGGTCCTGTTTCACCTTCCTCGCCTTTTCTAAACCCATTCAAGGCTGCCAGAATCCTTCTGGAAATGTGCTGCCCAAATCATGCAGGGTCTCCCCAGTGCAGAGGGGAGGGGAAAGGAAGGAGGACTTGGGGCATTTTTTGCTAGTGATTCTTCTAACACAGCCCAAAACTGCATCCGCCCTTCTAGCGCTGTCTCCTGCTACCGAGCCACGTTCAGCTGGTTGTCGGAGTCCACACCTAAGTCTTTCTCTGCGGTTGTGCTTTCAGGCCACAAATCCCCCGTATTGTTTGCGTGTCCCAAAATGTAATTCCTTACATGTGTTGAAGCAAGTCTTGATCTTCTCAATCTGTAGTCTAAATTAGACTACAATCTCATTCTGTCATCATCGGTGCTGGCCGGATCTCCTAATTTTGTGTTGCCTGCAAATTTGGCGAGCAGCCTCTTATTTGGGTCATTAGTAACATGTTGCATCCCACGGCCTGAAGATGGATTCCTTTTGGTCAGTGCTCTTAACACTATGCAGCGGCAGCTGTTTAATGCTGCTCCCTTTAGCCAGCCAGTTGTGGATTTCTCAACGCAAGTCCTGGCAGGCTTGCGTTGGACTCATCGGCACGAGCTTCTTGCTCTGGTGTGAAGATGCCTCGCAACCCGTCAGACGCTTGTGGTTACCTTAACATCCCACAGCCAGTCAAGCCTGCTACAAACCAATTGCTTCGTCCTTTCAGTACGTCTCAATCACTCAAACAATTAAAGTTGTGGAAGGGGAACTTTTTTTTATTACTTTCATTACTTTTTTCCCTTTTCTTTTCCCAGGCGGTCATGAGCACCAATACAAGCAGGCACCTTCCTAACAGTGTGCTCTCGTTAGGTACTGGAGAATGACCACCAAGGGGTCGCAGAGATAGTGAGCCCTGTCAACAATCACAAGACAGTCCTTATGTACAGAAAAGGCCCATTCCCTGTCAAACAGCAACAATAAAAGACACACCGCCAGCCCAGCACACAAGGTAGCTGACCCTTCTCTACGGGGAAGGTGGTGTCCACAAGTAACAGGAACAGAACTAACACACACACAGAACAAAAATAGAAAGCATTGAAGCAGAAAGTGGGGGGAGGGCACTGAATAATTGAAGGCATATGCAGTTGGTGTAACTAATAGCAATAGTTACACCAACATGTGCAGTCAGAACATAGATATCTACTGGAAATCTACTACCACTACATCCCATCCAGTGTTGCATCCATCACACACAGGATGACAATCACACAACAATGAGATCAATAACAATAATACAACTGTAATCACAAAAACCAGCACATCCAACTGGTCAAAAATAACAGCATAAAAACAGCTTCCTCAAACACCAGCATAACCAGCTGGTTGAAAACTCACTACTACTTCTTCTTTTCTTCTTCTTACAAAACTTCTTTTCCTGTAGGGCGTTGTGAAAGCAAGCACTATTGCCAAAATGAGACCACATAATACACAAGGACACAACCCTGTGACTGAGGGCGCAACCCTCACCCAATACAAGGAAGTGATCAGCTCCCAGGGGAGGCTATTCCGCCGAGTCCCAGCCACGGGACCAGCCCTGCCTGTTTTGCCAGCAAAATATGTCAGGAAAGACCCAGGCCTGTCCACAAAGCAAGTCCGGTTGTGACCCTTCCCTTCTGGCCAAATTTGGGGACAGGTCCCACCCTCTCTATCTAACTCACACACCCTCTCTCCCTAACTGTAGTCCACCGAAGGACCAAATGGCTCACCTCTGATCCAAAGTAGACAGTTCGTATAAGAGTGGGCTGGTGACCTGAAGCTCCAACGCAAGGAACGGTCAGGGATCCTAGCTGGACAGCAGGTCTCTTCCAGTGACCATCGTATCTGAGTCACGGCACCATTTCTGTCATAAAAAGATTCCAATAAAAGAAACAGGAGACAGCAATACAATAAACAATTCTTACTTTACGATTCAGAGGTTTATTTCACGAGCAATTTGGAACAGGAACAGCCACCATAACATTACTTACATCAATAACCCATTGCAATGAGGTCCAGAGACGATAGCTGAGTCCAGCAAGGAGTAGCTATGGCCAGTGGCCCTGAACTCATCCCTTCTTTTTATACTTTTCTGCACGCATTTCACAACTTACTTCCTTGTTACTTCTTTACTGACAGACAGTCTCCACATATACCTGTGTACATCTCAAACCTCTGTCCATCGGCTACTTTCAGTTCCCTATTTCTCTGTTTCAACGTTCTGATTCCAAATACTGTATATCTCAAAACTATGTACTTTGCAAAATCACATTTCACAGCAACAGCTCAACAGGTTTACAAATAGTTCTGATACACTTTGAAATCTTTCTAACTAAAACTTTGGTTCATGTCTCTTTATTCTGGGGCCTGCTTTTTCCACTTAGGCCTTATTGATTCTAATAGATCAATAGGCGTTTCCCACACCCTGGTCCTCAGCCATTTTCTGACTCTGCTGGCACAAGGACTGCCAGGTGGGCTGTCTGCCGGACTTCAGCACCCACCGGCGAGCATTTGCTGTCATGGGACTCGAGCTGGGTGAACAAGCCGTCCCTGCAGCCTGCTTTGGGAGGTGGTGTGTGGGCACCTTTTCTGCTGGATTCACCTCTGCTTCAGAAGACGTCCCTGGGCAGCCAGGCACTCCCTCACTGCCCCTTTTGACCAGCCCAAGGAGGGAGCGAGGCCGGGGGGTGGGCTGCTTGCATGCAGAAAGCCCCACATAAATGCAGGGAGGCTATTTTGTGTACACCAACCCCATTTCACATAGGTCATTTTATTTACATTTAAAAGGTTCTTTTGAGAGCCTATTTTAGACCACCACTCTGGGCAGTTCACCAAAATAAAACAACAAAAACCACCTGTAAACACAAAGATGAAAATCTCGTATTGGGCTGATTCTGGGTGTGCTGTGGTCCCTTGCTGAAGGTCCTGATTGGGAAGCTGAGTGCAGCTGACAAGGGTCCTCCTCTCAGCCCACGGGACAGGGAGAAAGGGGAGCTGAGCCTTCTGGTTTCCTCCCTCAGCACAGGCAGCTGTTTTGATGGGGTTGTGGGGGGGAGGTGGATGCAGGGAGGGCATTTTCCTCATGGGGCATTGTGGGCCCTGGGCGAACACAGCCCTTCGCAGCCCACCCCCACAAATTCCCTTGTCTCTGCTTTGGGATCCCCGGCCCTCTCTGTGGGTTTCTCTCTCTCTCTCTCTCTCTCTCTCAGCGATCCTTTTGAAATGGGTTTTGCTTGCTACACTTGAATCACATTAAACACACACACAGCTCTGGGAGGAAGAGAATTCTAGTAGTAGAAATAGTCATAATATTCTTGGTCAAAGTCTGAATTGGCCAGCCAAATGCTGAATCTCAACTCAACTATTGCATTCCTCACCCTTAAGCATGCAAAACTTTCTAGCTACCAGTCATTCATCAGCAACAGGAAAGGGAAGTTAAGCCTGACTCAACTGCGGGCCTGGTTTGAGTTCCTTGATAAGGCTATCAGGTAGGCTTCCAGGAACTTTTCATCCAGGATGTGAGGCTCAAGTATGACAGGGTCAAAAGGGAAACCGCTAAAAGCAAAATGAAGCCGGATCTGCCAGTACTACAATATTAAAAACAGCAGTGATGGGGGGTTTGCCTGCTGCTGCTTTAGAAAGCTTGAGAAGTGTTTGGATCCCAAAATAAATGATTTTCATGCATGCTTATAAAATGCTTCCCCTGGTGATTCTGTCTTTCCTCTTCAGTGCAAGCCGCCCAATTCTGTGTGGTTTGGTGCCCTCCCCCCTCCCGTTGTGGCTACTGTGATTCCCAGCAGCTATGAAAAGCAGGATTTCTGCTGCTCTGGCAGTGCCCGTGTCAGGCAGGTTGCAAGACACAATCTTCTGATATGGGGGGGGGGGGCTGTCAGGCCTGGAAGCCATCTTTTCTGTTGGATCTTCAGGCCTGCCACATTTGCTACTTCCGTGGGAAACTGGTGGAAGGGGGGATTGTATGGAGCAAGGCTGATATCTAGTCATAATAACATTCCTTTCTCAGAAAGTCAAGGACATCTTGCCCTGCACCTGGAGGGGTGGACCTGGGAGGCATCTTCAGTTGGGACGGTGCTTTGGTTGGGCCTTGTGATGGACATGTGGGTGTTGGGCTTTCCTTCGGATGGGGAAAACCTGGAAGCTCTCAGAGTCGGGTTTTCCCAGATGTGCCAATAGGACATCTGTAATAAAATGGAACTTTGAGGAAGCCTTGGAGTTTTCTTTCGTTGGGGGTGTTATTTGGAACCCTGAAAGTCGGTTGGCTCTTCCTGCTTCTCAGTCAAGGGAAACCATGTCGGGGGCAGGAGCAGCCGATGGAGCAGCTCTCCTACGCTTGCACCGCTTTGGAGCACCAAATTGGGTCCTTGGAGAAGGTGGGATTCTCTAGTCTCATGGCGTCACAGAGTCCCTGCCTGGTCCCACCTGCGTTCAGGGAGGTCATGTCAGGATAGCGTCTTCCTTCCTTCCTTCCCGCCCGCACTCTTCCACCCCACCAACTAATCTCACTAGGATGGAATTAAGGGCGCAGCATCTCGGCTCTGCTTTAAACCGCTTTCCTTTCCCCTGCTCATTTCCTGGAGGCCAAGGGAGGCTCTGCCAGACAGGTGTGCTTCAGGTCACGTCCCTCCTCCTCCTCCTCCGAGAGACCGGATGGGGCACCATGGGGGCACTGACTCAGCCAGCGATCTTCCCTCCTCCCCCTTCCCTGCTTCTTCTCGGTGGTTGCATGAAACAACGGCCAGCCAAAAGGTGCCCGGGTGGTTCTGCTGCAGGAGAGAGTTCGGCACAGGGCAGGCGCTCCTGTCTCACCAGGCCAGGAGCCGAGAGCAGAGTGGGCAGCAAAGGCAGCACGCACCCCTCCCCTGGTCCTTGCTCTGGGTTCAGGAGAAGCCAGATGGGCCGATCAAAGTACGGCAAAGGGTCCCCTGGCTGAGGCCCCCCGGCACCAAGCTTTCTGTGCGAATTGGAAAAAACAGGCATTGTGCAGAGAAAACTCTCAGGAATCAGCATTCCTGCACTTCATCCTTAACGGATTAGCATTCTCTTTTTTAAAGTCTAAAATGACACTTGGACTCCTGGCAAATAGGATGAAACAGCTTCTAGTCACCATTGTCCCAGAAATGTCTTATGCTCATAATCTTGGGTTGTGCTTGCTGGTGCTCCGCTGCTAAGCAGGCCCGGATTCTGAGCAGGGCCTGGTGCAGCCACCCTTCCCTGCTGGAAGCCTTTAGCCAGAGATCCAAAGGGGCTCCATGAGGCAAGCGAAGGAGGCTTGCTTTGGGGTGTCCCCTCCCAGAGAATCCGGCTATCCATGGAAGCTTCAAGGGCTTCTGGAGCCATTCCCAGCACGGCCCCTGGGTCTCCTTCAAAAGGAGAGGAATCGAGGCCCAGGACAAGGGCGTTTCATAAACTAAGGTTGGGTCACTGTTCGCACATCACCTGTTAATGTGGTTTATTCTGTTTCAACTGAAAAGGTTGGCTTGCCATGATGGACAAGCTAATTCTGTGCCAAAATCCATCTGTCGGTTTTCCAAACATTTTCCTCCTCTTAGAAATACATAATACATAAACAGTAGGTGTACATGGAGTGAGACTGATGTGGGGTGTGGGTGCATCCAGAGAGACGTGCCCCCCTGCTGCCAGTGGGCAACCTGCAGGCAGCCTGTGTAAACTGAAACTATGCCTATAGATCTTCCATCCACAGAGGCAGTCTACCTCTGAATGCCATATGCTGGGGACAACACCTGCATGGCTGCTCGGAAGCTCCCCAGAACTGGCCAGAGTGGAAACAAAATGCTGAGAAAGACGGAGATTTGCTCTGGTTGGGCAGGACCATGTTTTATTCTCTTTAAGTCTTATTGAGGCTTAAGTATTAAGTCCTGACTTCCTTTAAGACTTATTAACCCGGAGGAGCTCAGGTGGCCCAGATGCTGCCCTTCCTCAGGGATCCACGCTTAGAACCAGGGCTGCCTCAAAAACAGCAGAGGGCTGGGACGAAGAATGGGTTCGCCCCATTTGCTGTCAGCGGAAGGAAAGGAAAAACCGAGGATGAAAGAATCTGGGGCGGCTCCAAGGTTTCGCGCAGGGGCTCTCCTTGGCAGGTGGCCCAAAGTTAGCAACAACCACAACCTTCCTTAGCGTTCTGACGATGACATGCTGCTCTTTCACTAAAACCACTCAAACACAATCCATCATAGAACCGGCAGTAATAATAAAAAAAACAGAAAATCAGCTTCCTTTTTTAAAAACAAAGTCCCTTCAGTTCCTAGGTTGTGTTGTCCTGAGGATGCTTCAGTTGTCGTTTCCCACAGCCAGCGTGTGGGCCCGGCGGTGGCTGCCCAAGAGGAAGAGCCACAGCTGAGATGTGGCGTCCAGATGTTTCGCAGCGACCGGGCACAGCCTCCCCTCTTTGCCCGGAGATCGGATTCAATGCATACAATCCTCTCTGCTGTGCAACGCGCTCAGCCTCGCCCAGCCGGTGACCTCAGCCAACCGCTGCCAGCTGCCCAATAAATGCTCCTAGAGCCACCCTCCGAGGCTCATGTCCTCCTGAGCTGCCTGACTCCAGAGCAGCTCCAGATCACCTGCGGTTGCTGCCAAGAAATTGGACAGGATGGAGGGCAGGGAAGAGGCCAAGGAGCAGATAATCTTTAATCAGGTAGGTTTTTATATTTGGGGTTTTAAGAAGAGAAGAGATCGTTCCTGTTTTTCCCCACAATCAGCTAGGCTTCAACTTTAACATCTTGCTTACAATGACTGCTGTCATTGTCACAATTACAATGACCTGCTGTCAAGTTGGTGTTGACTCTTAGCAACCACATAGAAAGGTTTTCTTTACAACAATGATCCCTAAATGGCTCTTCTGGGTCTTCCAAGGGAGCCCCCATCACCACAGTGCCTCCACCTTGCTGCTGGTTGTCCTCTTCTTCTCTTTCCCAGAGCCTTCTCTGGAGAGCTCGGTCTTCACACCAAGTAGGGTATAATGTAGCTGGGCCACTGGGGCCTCGAGTGAAAACTCTGGGTCGATGGGTCCTTGGCTGGCTTTCTTGGCCCTTCACAGCATTCTCAGAAGGAGTCTTCTGCAAGGCACATAGTGTCAATATTACCCCCCTCCCCGCTTCTTCAGGGTCCAACTTTTGCTTTCATGAGGTGCCCTAGAGAATTCCATGACCTGCATGGTTCTGATCTTTGTAGGGACGGAATCTCTTTCCCGAGCCTTTCATGGCAGCTCTCCCAAGTGCTGCCTGCGGGCTCTTCCTTGACTGCTGCTCCCTTGGCTGTCACAGCTAAAGGCAAAGGCTTCACCCCTACAGGGTCTCCGTTGCCGGTTCTAAGGCAGGTGAGTCTACCTGGATCGCATCCATATAAAGTGTGGAGAATTTTTTATTATGGTTTTGATTTTTTTAAAAAGTAATAAATGATATTTTAATGCTTTTAATTGAGCCTACCCTTCCTTCCTGATGGTCTTTATTCAAATAAAAAAATTGAATAAAAGAATAGATAGCCATGAAGATTAAACTTTTTGAAAAATCTCACCTTTATTATTTTTACAAATAATTCAAAGCAGCAAACAGATCTAATGCTCCGTTCTATTTTTCCCACAACACCCCTGTGGAGTGGGTTGGCCTGAGAAACTGTGATTGGCCCAAAGTCACCCAGCCAATTTCCATGCCCAAGAAGGGACTAGAACTCACTGTCTCCTGGTTTTAAGCCAGGAGTTTAGATGGTTTAAGATTTCTTAATCGCTAGATGAAAGTGGTTCTGTCTCTCTATCAATATTTAGGGAGTCTTCAGTTATGACAACTGGGACCAAAATTTGTTGCTAAGCAAAGCAGGCCCGATGGTAGGACTTTTGCCAACGTTTTTAAGCAGATCCTTGGTGTTGTTAAGTGAATCACCGAGTTAAGCCACTCAGGCTTCCCCCATCGACTTTGCTTATTGGAAGCTGGAAGGTCACATCTGGCCATCCAATCACCCTCGGACACTGCAGTCATAAAAGCATGCTGGTTGCCAAGTGTCCAAATTTTAATCATGTGACTGTGGGGAGGCTACAATGGTTGTAAGTGCGAGGACTGGTCTTTGAATGATTACTAAACAAAGGGTTATATGTCAAGGACTCCCTGTATCTCAGTCAGATCAAGGCTATTGATCTTGCTAAGCAATTCCTAACTCCCTGAGGTAGGCAGTGCCTGTACTCTGAAAAGTTCAGGATGAGCAACACATCTAGTTCAATTGGTGGCCATTTTTTACCTCAAATATTTCTGGTGGCTCTGAGAGAAATGCAGAGCTTGGCAAAGGGGATGTTTTCACTCCAGCAATGAAAAGAATAAAATCCAGGACTTGCAAGGCGGCTTCATTCATTGCCCAGCAGGGAGCTGAAAAGGTCTAGAGGACCGACTGACTGAAGACAAGTGCAGGGGAGCCCCTCTATTGCCCGTGGAAGGCAGGGGAGGCCCAGATCTTCAGGTCAGCCAGCCCAGAGGGGCTGCTGGGCACCTGGGGAGGCGGCTTTGGAGCTCCTGGGTGGGTGTCAGCCTCAGTCTCTCCTCAGAGGGGCTTCGGTTTCCAGCTGAGGTTGTGGCCCTGGGCTTGGCTGGAGGGCGCCAGGGCAGGCTCAACTTTCTCCCCCTGCACTGCGCAACCTGGCACTTCTTCTTCACTTGAAACATTTCCATAGAAAAATTATGTAACAAAAATTCCAGTTTTGCGATATTCGGTGATAATGGAAGAAATGTTGCAATCAGGGATATGCAGTGTGTGCGCGCGGGTGGAAAACAATCCAGCACTGATTACGACAGATGTTATATTAAATACTGTAGGGCCTCATCCACACCCTTTCCCCTCCAAAAACAGGCCTGCAAAATGTAGCCTGAGGACAGCTTGTGTGATGGAACATAGAACATGGGATTTTGTGAGTTAATTGGAAGCTGGATAGGTAAAATACATAAATAAATGTTTTAAAGGGGAATGTTTTATTGGAGCTGGATCTTCCTTGGACAGGAGAGTTAATGGGACCAACTCAATGGCAGCAAGTGGATTTGAGCAAACTCTTTTTTTAAAAAAAAAATAAATTTTATTTAATTTTCCAGGTTAAAATCAACATGAGACAAAAACATTGATTATACATAAAAACGAAAACCATACCTTCCCCTCCCCCATTCATAACACTAAACATACAAACTGGACTACAATTCCCATCAGTTATGCAGGTTAGAAAGGTAGGCATTAATGATGGGAAATTATCTGAATTATCTGAAAGGCTTGCAATTCAAAATTATGGAAAAAAATCACTTTTCCTGCAACATAATCATATCTAATTCCACTTAAATTCATGTCACCCATTCTCGCTCCTGGTTTTCAATGGCTATTCTGGCTGTGCATCTTGTTGTCAACCAGGTGGCAATAACAGATGGACACGCTGCCATCTTCCACATCTGTGAACTCCCATAATTCTCAGACATGAGTGTAAAGTATGGGAACTGTTACTCTGCCCCCTCTTGGGAAATGAGTTAAATGGCATCTGGTTGGACTGAAAAGGTGCAATCCTGTCTCGATTTCTAGCACTTTCTTTTCCTTCAGCACGTTGGTCTGCCTGACCTTCTTTCTTCTTCTCCCCTCTGGAAAGGAAGTTTGCAATTCTCAGCAGCTTTACCCAATGCTTCCACTTCCTGTGAAGAAAGTGATTGTGCAGCTCTTTCCCCCCTGCGGAAGGTGCCAAGTCTTCTGTGCCCCAAACGTCCCAGGAGGTTGTTAAGCAAGCCCCAGGGCCGCTGTAAAGGGACAAGTATTGAGCAAGGTTGGCTGGAGCCAGGAAGGAGCAGTAGTTGTAGTGGCTGCCTGGCAGGCTCCCTGGGACTAGAACTGCTGCTGCTGCCGCCGCCCCCTTCGTCCCCCCCCCCCCCCGGCTTCTCCATATCCCCTTGGAGTGCACGACACCCATCTAAATCCATGCGTATAATCCAACAAGGAGCGAGGATCCTGAGCAGTGGGGCATGTGCTACCATTTTGGATGGTCACTGGGAGGAGAGTCTGTTTTTCCTGTCCCTTGATTGAACCATGTCCCCTTTCTAGGCCCTCAGCATCCTTCTACTGTGGCGACCAGGACTGGACACAACATGTGCAGGGCTGAAGAACTATCATTCCTGTGGTCTTCGTTTCTGCACATTCAAGTCCGTCAAGATCCTTTTCAAGCTTGAATCTGTCTTTGGAAGAGTTCATATATTCCACCACTGAGTATTTTCTCAAATCTCCAAATATAGACAACTGCTGAGTTCTTGAGCATAAACCAGGCTTTAAACCTTTGTTCCCGCTGTTAGTAATATGCAGAAGTTAATTTATAGATGTGACTCCAAGCTTTTCTCCCCAAGGTCCCATCTCTCTCTCTGCTAGGCTAGAAGGAAGCTGCAGGGATTGCAATCCAGGCACTGCGGTTGTTATTTATAGAACTGAATGCATCCCCACCTACGGTTTTAGGGGCAGTTGTCTTTTTGCTAAATTAGTTTTAAAAATTATTTATAGAGACACTATTATAAAAATTGCTTCAGTTAGCAGGAGATATAATAACGTCTTTTACAACGTGAACGTCCGCATCACCTTCAACTGCTCAGCGGTTTGGAGCGGGTTCCTGAATTAAAGGGGCTGCTGCGGAGGAAGATCTTAGCAACTCAAGTTTCGCGGCGACCGCTGCCTCCCGGGCTTCTTTGGGAGGGCAAAGGGGGGAGAAGGAAGTGCAAGGAAGGCCTTCGCTCCCGCGGGGAGGCCGAGCGGCTCGGCTCGTGGGCGGGAGGCTGCATCCGTCAGCCAGGCACGCCTTCCCCCTCGCCCGCCAAACTCCCGCCACGGACGAGGCTCTCCCGAGGGGCCGCCTCCCCGCGCCGGCCTTGCGCCGCTCTTCCCCGGAGCTGCCGGGCGGGCCGAGAGGAGCCCCTCGCGCCACGGAGGGGCTCCTCTCGGCCCGCGCCCAGAGGCGCCCTCCGCGGGCTGGAGGGGGCGGCCGGGGAGGCCGGTCGGAAGTGGGGGATGCTTCCTGGGCTGCCGTCGCTTTCACGCAACCAAGTCCGGGAGGCGCCGCCCGGGCAGGAGCAGCCGCCCTCGCCAGCGCCCCGGCCGCGGAGGAGCGCCGCCCCGCAGGGATGCGCGGGGCCGTGGCTGAGCGAGGGGGCGGCCGGGGCGGGTCCCTGCGCACGTGCCGCGAGACACGCCGCCAGGCGCCCTCCGGGGGGGGAGGGGGGGGGGGGGTGTCAGCCTCGCTCTCGGCCCCCGGAACAGCCGCCCCTCCCCCCTCCCGCACACACCCTCCGGCCTGGGCCAATGGGCGGCGGCGGGCAGGGCGCGTCACGCGGAAGCCGGCCGGGATGCCTGATTAGCCGGCGCGGCTCGCGAGTTACTTTGTCCGGCCGGCGCCGTCCCGACTCCGCTCCGCCGTCGTCCCCGGGCTCCTTCGCGTGGCGCTAGGGCGTCGTCGTCGGCAGCAGCAGCAGCAGCAGCGCCATGATCGCCTCGCACTTGCTGGCCTACCTGTTCACCGAGCTCCACCACGACCAGGCGCAGCGGGTGAGGCCGGGCAGCACGTGGCATTCCTCTCGGGGAGGCGGCGGCTGAAGAAGCAGCCCCGCTTCTCTGAGAACTGGCTCGGGGGGCGAGGCCGGGCCAGGCAAGAGCCGGCGGCCATCAGAGCGAGCGTGGCGGGCGGCCGTGGAGACGGCGCGGGAAGCCGCCGCTTCGCCCGTCGGGGCGCTCGCTTCCTGCTCGCCTAAAGAAGCGGCGGGGACAAACTTCCCATGGGAAGCCGGGCAGAGCCGTTGCCGCCGGTGGCTTCTCGCGGAGCCGGCGCTTCCCGGCCGCGGCTGGCCCTCGAGCCGCAGCGAGGACGACCCCGGGCGCCGCTGGCATCTTTTCCCCTTGCGCGAGAGGACCACCCCGGCCTTCCTTCCCGCTCTAGGGATTCCCGGCGGGGTCGCCCGCCGCCCTCGTTTAGTTGGCTCTCCTGGACGGCGGTGCCCGCGAGGGTTGCTGGCTCCCCTGCAGAGGCCCCCCCAAGGCCCGGGAGAGGTTGGGGAGGCAGGAGGGGCTCGCTTGGCAAGCCAAAAGGAGGGGCGGGGGCTTTCCCGCCGATCCCTTCCCAGAAATGGAAAGCCGCTGGGCCTCTTTGAAGGGAGGTTGGCTTGGGGAGCTCCCCCCCCCCTCCAGGCACAGCGTTGGCTTTCGTCTTTTTCTCGCCCCCTGTGCTGGGTGGGAGGTTTGGCCCAGAGCCAACGACCAAGGCAGCTTCCTTAGGCATTCCTTTCCCATCAGAGCTCCATTTTTGTCCCGGGTTTTAAAAAAACAGCCGGTAACCTAAGGGGACCATGTGATCCCAGCCTATTGCTAAGAGGGAAGTCTTGTGGCACAAACCGGGTGGATCCTCTCCAGCAAGTTAGCGGTTCCTTTTGATTGCAGAGGGATCTTGTAACCTACCTGGTCAGAAACACTTCCTTGAGGTGTGACAAAACCAGCTGTTCTCAGATAGGAGCCATTTCACGGAGAGGAAACGGGGCCACCTCAGGTGGCAATTTTCTGACCAGAGATGCATGGCGGGGGGGGGGGGGAGTTTGCCTCGAGTGCCCTGGACGAGGTCCTGAATTCAGTGCTGGTCCCCCAGTGACACATAGCTGCCCCCCCCTCGTTTTATGGGACATCCTTTCCCTCGGGATCCTACAGCCCCTCCCCCAATTTAATCTTCTGGAAAGCAAGAGCTGGCTTTCCCCCAAAGTCAGAGTGGGGTGGAGAAGGTTATAGGTTGCATCAGGAAACTGTGGTTGTGGTGGCAACTTTTCCATTGCTGGTTTTATTTGTTGTATGAATTGCTTTATTCATAGGTTGTAAGCCACCCGGAGTTTGGTTTTAAGATGGGTGGCCGTAGAAATATTCTAAATAAAGAAAAGTAGGGCATTGTTGGGCAACTCTGTGCCGCACCCCTCCTTGCACTAAACTGCAGGGCACTCTTTCTGTCACAGTTGCGGTTTCCCAGAATCTCTTCTCATCTCTACTCCTTCACTGAGATTTCCTCCTGATTGGGATCCATCCCAGGTGGCCTCCTGGGGGCAGTAACATCTCCTGGCCCTCGTCCCCATTTCCCTGGAAGGAAGTCAGCGTTCCAGTAATGGGAAACCTTTTAAAAACCTCCCCTATTCTTCCTCCAAAAAGCATCTTGCAAGGCTCTTCTCCTTTCTTGGGGTTAATGGGATTCAAAGGTTATCTGGGGACTCAGGAGCCAGGTTCAGGGCTATGCGGAGAAAGGTAGAGAAGGGAATCATAAACCAAAGTGGGCCCCTGTATTTGCCATGTCCCCTCCCCCCTCAATTGGACTGGCATGGCAACGGGACAGGGGGGAGGCAGAGGTGGCCCAGAGGGGCTGGGCCCGCCCTCTTCCTACTGCAGCTCTAGGATTGGTGGACGTTTTGCCCTAGCTAAGGAGGGAGGGCAGCAAAGCCAGAGGAATCAAGCAGTCGTGTTGCTTCTTGTGCATTGTGTGTGGGTGATGGGGGGGGGCGCCTTTTGGAGGTGAGGCAGAGCAGAGGCTGTGGGGGCAGCGGAGGGATTGGCGGGGAGCTTTAGATGTCATGCACTAGTTTTTCCAACCTGGGCTGGCCGGCTGGGTCTGGTCCCTCTTTTGCACAGGCCTCGCTTGCTGATGAGATGGCATTGGGAATGCACAGAAACCATCTCTCAGTAACCTCCAAAAGAAGTTGTGCCAAGCTGCTCTTGGCCAAGGGGAGATGCCTCTGGTTTACGCTATGCCCTGAAGCCCCTTTCCCCCTTGGGGTCTGTGCAGTGCACACCTAGGCGCTGGTCTGGGCCCCCCCAAGTGGTGGAGGGAGGGGCCGTCTCCTTTTGCGCAGGCAACGCCCTGCTTGATTTTGCTGCAGAGTGGCCTGACTCAGGGCAGCACACACTTCGTATGGCAGGCAGACAGGCGGAACCTGTAACCGCTGCCCTCCAGGGTGTACGTGGGGTTCTCCTTTGAAGGGCTACGGGCAATCTGCCCTTTGAAAAAGGCATGGCCATCCACAGGGCCATAAAATTTCACCCGAGGTCGAGTCACTTCAAACATGTAAATTGTAACTGTCAGATTGTGTAATCTGTAGCATAGTGGGAGAAAATATTTATCTACCAGTTATTCTTGTATATCAGGCTTCAGAAAATATCATATTTGAGAAAAGAAAATTCTAATTTTCCTTGATGTATTGCTTCAGAATTTTAGCATCCTTTGCTCTGTTACGTTGTGCAACTTTATTTGGGTTCAGTTTAGAAATCAGACTTCAGATTCTGAAGGATCTTCTGCTGATATTGTGACCATCTGCAGTTCTGAAGCAGTCCGGTGGGCCTGTACGGTTGCCTTGGGAGAGTTACAGTGGCTGGAAGGAAACGCCCGTTATCCCAAATCCAGAAGGTGGAGAGAAGGGGAAAGAGTTTCGTTGTGCCTCTCTTCCCCATCCATCCATTTCCCCCAGTGCCCTTGAATTAGAATCCAAAATGTTGTGCCTGGACTGTCACCGTTAAGAACCGTAACAATGCAACACACCCTGTTTTACCTTTCCAGGTGTATTGCATTGTTACGGTTCTTAGCATTTATTGAGTGATAAATTAGACTTGCTATAACTGAGGCATCATTATAAGATATAATTTGTATGCTGGAGTTTTAGGAATAAGGAATTAACACCAAAATGAGACTAACATATTTCTGCTCTCTAAAAATATTATGTCAGTTGAACACAACAAATAGATGCAATTTGGATGCAGAAGTACTATTACTTTATGGTTTTGGCTTCTTACACGGATTAACTTGAAGGGCTGACCTCAAGGCAACCTGCTGCTTTGGGAAGAGCCCAGAAATCAGCGCCGGTGTCCCCGGTCACCACACCTTCCTTAGCCAAAACAGCCTCCAAAAGAACTTTGACTTGGTCACCTTCTCATCTTCTGCATCCAAATTGCATCTATTTGTTGTTCTCTTGATAGAGAAACCAATTAGCTGCTATTGGCCTTTGTTACTGTTTTCCCTCTGGGTCTCTTGCCGTGATTGTGCTGGAGGGGGCAAGCTCCTCCCCCCCCCAGAATTGTTGTGCTGAAAAGGAAGGTGGGGGATTGCGGTCCTTCTGGTTTGAAAGGCTGTCAGGCTAGGAGAGGAGCTTCCTTCCGAGTTCTCCACCATTTGCCCTTCTTGCCCACAGCCTGGTGTCTCTGGACAGCTTGGACAGAAGCGCCTTAAGTTAGTAATCGCTTTCTACGTGTGTCTCCCATCCAGCAGCTTAGTAAAGCACAGGCGATGTGTAGAATGAGGGTGGAGATGAGCCAAGGAAGAACCAGCTAAGCAGGAAGCTGACTCACTGGGCGCTGAGCGAGAAATCTGTCAAGAAGGAAAGTTAATCTTTTGACGTCACAGGCAGAGTAAAACCGAAGGAGCTCCCTTCAGGGAAATGTGAAGGCATTCTGCTTTCAGCTGTTTCTTCTCTTGCCTTAGCACATGGTGGTTAATGGTAGGCCCTGACTTAATAAATGGCTGCCCAGTTGTGGGCTGGAGGACGGTTGACCTCTGGTTCTGGTGCTGAGCGTGGCTCTCTCTCCTGAGACCAGAGCAGCTCCGGGAATGAGAGCGGGAGGCTGAAGGAGAGCAGTGCAGGAAAGGCTGGTGGCTGCCTCAGGAACAGATTCCCCCACCAAGTAGATTCCGGAAAGCATTCCTTGTCCAAACTCTTCTTGACGGAGGGCTGCGGCCAGGCAGCCTGGTGTGAAGGGGGTCAGAATTTTGAGAACTTATTTATTTTCACATAAGGTTACATGAGGTTGGGAAATCAAGTATGCAGGAGCTGCCGAATACTGATCTGATATGCGCATGAGAGTAAGCCAGGTTTTTTTCAACTTTGGTTTGTTGAACAAGCCCTTGTGAGCCTCGTTCACACGTCCCTCTGTCAGAAAGCCACCCAGTGACTCCGTGGCTTGGCAGGCTGTGCTGCTGGCTCTGCTGCGCTTGGCCTTGGTTCACGAAGGGGTTGGATCTGGAGCCTCCGGCTGGAATGGTGGGCTCTGGCCCTGGGCAGAGAGGGGAGGGCGGCAGATGGCCGGGGGCTCCCCAAGCAAAGCTCCTTTGGCTGACAGAAGCCGTTGGGGCTGGTGCTTCTCATTGACGTCTAGGGTCCCTGGATGCAGACACGGAAGAGGCTGATTCCCAGGTTAACTTTCCTGATAAATGGGCCTTTGGAGATCAAGGACAGGTGATGGACTCTCCCCCCTGTGCTCAGTGCACTTCATGAGCCTGGCCAGCCTAAACCAGACTGCTCTAGGGCTCTAGGGGTGGGAGGGAGCCTCACTCCCTTTGAAAAGAAATGTGGATTCAGACACACCCTCTCCTTTGTCCTGGTGGCCACCTGGTTGGGAAAGCAAATAAGCTTCAGTCTCTGTTTGTTGAAAGGAAAGAATTCAAAAGCTCTCCGCGCTTCCTGTTGCACTGCAGAGATCGGAAACAATTGGGCTGCAACACAGGAGGAAGCAAAGAGGTTGCACTCTGGCTAGAAACAGGGACGGCAAACTACAGTTATGTCTTGAAGCATAATGCAAATCCATCAAGGCAACTGCTTTACTTGGACAACGGAAGATTCACAAAATTGCCATCGGGCAACATGGTTAAGTTAAGCCATTAAATTTAAACCATAGTAGAACTGCCAGAAAAGCAGTCTGGAATTCTCTGAAACCCAGAAATTGGGAACATCACTTCATCCAATTTCTGTAGAAGGAGAAATCCATGTTCAGGAGTTTGAGAAAGGCAGGAGGCTAAATAACAAAGCCGCAAGGGAGGAATTTCTTAAAAACGTCTCCTGGGAGTTAAGGAAGGTGTGGGAAGACCAGGTGGCTACAGATCTCCAAAGGGACGATGAACGCAATGAAAGGCACTGCCAACATGCAATCAAGTGAAAGCACCACACTTCCCCTTCGAAATAAACGTCAAAATGAAGTGAAAGATAACTGGTAAAAAAAAAAAATCAGTGAGAATTTCTCTGTCCAGCACTGAGTTAAATCAATTGCTGGAAAAATCAAAGAACTAACCCCTCATTTCTCCCTCCCCCCCTTGGGAATATTGCCAGCTTCCTATTTTTAGCTGATTATGAAAGCAAACTTCCCTGGCACTTTCTGCAATCTTCCCCCTTCCCCCTGTTAAATTATAATGTTAGTCTTTTAATTCTAACCCATGGGAACCGGAAGCTAGTCAGAGGCTGCCTGGGTATTTTGGAGAAGTTGGGGGTCTGTGCCCAGGGATTGTTGGCTCTGGCCTGGAGCTGACACCTGGCAGGCAGTCCGGCTCGTGGGCTCCCCGCTGCCCCATTCCTGCCCAGGTCAGGTGGCTGCCAGTCAGTGCTGGGTTCTCTGAGCTGGAGGGACGAAGGACCTGATTTCCTGAAAGGCAGCCCTGCTCTTGGCCCTGGCAGAGCTGGCCTCAGGTGCCCCACCCTGGCCAAAATGGGGCTGCCGTTGCTCCCCCCCTCAAGGCTGCCCCATTTCCTTCCTGGGCCGGGCCTCCTTGCTCTTCCTCTGCAGTTTCTCAGCCCTGCCTCTGTTTACAGGAGCAGCCAGAGCCAGGGTGGCTCACCTGTGTGCCCTGGCTGCTGGTAGCTGGGTGGGAAAGTTGTCGCATTAATCAAAAATCCCTCTTGGTGGACAGGAATGGCGGCTGTGTGCAACTGATGTGCCTTCTAGTTTGTTCCCAGATTCTTTCAAATGCAAGCTTTTTAAATACTGTTTTTGTAACTGGGAAATAAATGCATTTTGGTGTTTCTGTGTTGCAAACTTTTAGCAAACCTGGTTCCTCTTGCAGCCTGTTGCCATAAGATTCTGAAAAGCAGAAGTTGCTCTGTTCAGCTTCAGCCACTGTATCATCTTTGAAATCCTGCTTGTGTAGCGTGGAATGGCATAAACTTTAGGAAACATTTGCCAGGTGATTAATGAACTTAATTCTGGAACCAGCAGCAATTTCTGCGGTTTCCCTATCAGGAGATGAAGGGTCTGCAATGGAGGAGATGGGGGTCCCTTCAGAAATCTGCCCTTCTCTTCAACTGCATTTTAACTGAGTAAAAAAGTTGATAGTTTTATCATTTCCATGGGTTTTATTTTATAAGCCTTTCTAGTTCTGTATGAAATAGACTCTGATCACTGTTCTGTGTTTCTTTTGAACATTCCCAAGGGTGCCAAGGCATATCTTAAAATTCCACGATCCGTTTTCCCACGTTGGTGCAGTGGGCAATTTGTTAACCTGCTTAGGATTAAACTTCGCAGTTCACCCTTTTCCCGCACAGTGAGGACCGATTGAGATTCCAAGATGCTGTTGGGTTGGGATGGCCGTACATATTAGCTCTTGTAGTTCCTGATGCTTTTGAAAGTGGCCTGACCCATCTTTCTCCTGTTGCCAGGTTGACAAGTACCTTTATCACCTACGGCTTTCAGATGACACCCTCCGTGACATCTCAGAACGGTTCCGGAAGGAAATGGAGAAGGGCCTGGGGGCGGACACCAACCCTACAGCCTCTGTGAAAATGCTGCCAACCTTTGTGAGGTCCATTCCTGATGGAACAGGTAAAGTCTTGTCTCCCCTGCAATAGGAGCTCTCTTGATCGTAGAAGTTCAATTCTTCCTTGTATCAAATGTTTTTTAGAGCATGTTAAATGTCTAGCAGGGATTTGACTCTTTCAAACCTTTTAAGGAACATTTCTTAAACTTTTGGATCTTTCCTATACAAATGGGCCTCCAAAGATGGAGATGATGTTTTCTGAATTCTGCAGCTTATGCTGTAGTATGTTCCTGGAGTAGTTTTCACCAACTTGAAAGCCATTCGGGAGACTTTACTCTGTATGGTTTATTGTCCGTGTATTTTTTGTTTTTCCCATTACAACTTACGTTGTATGAGTTTTAAAAATAACCTGCTTACTTACAAGGTATTCTTTTTCAACCACCTTTAAGAACATGGGAGCAAGTGTAGCCTTATATACCTAGGTGAGGTATATTATTTTTTCTGCTGAGGGCCATGCTTGGCCACATGCCAGAAAGTATGTGTTGAGCAGAGAAGCACCGAGAATGATACCCTGGGCATCTCCCCTGTGCAAGATCCTGCTCCTCTGTTGCCAGTGTGCCCAGGTGCCCATAGCTCAGCCAGTGTATTCCTCAGCCTGGAAAAAGCTGAGCCTCCCAGAGATTCCTCTTCATGGTGGTGAGCTGCAGGCCGAGATGTTAGTTGCAGGTTCCCCTGAAGATTGTCAAGCAAAGAGCTCTTTGGTGTTTTGAATCCTGCATGCATACACGAATGAAATAGGCTCCATCTCTCTCTCTCTCCCACCCCCACCCCCACCCCCACCCCCACCCCACTCATCCTCCAACAGAGGAAGGCGACTTCTTAGCATTGGATCTTGGTGGCACAAACTTCCGGGTGCTAAGAGTCAAAGTGGCAGATAATGGCAGCAAGAAAGTTGAGATGGAAAATCAGATCTATGATATTCCGGAAGAACTGATGAGAGGCAGTGGGACGCAGGTGAGTGTGGTAGTTTTTCTCTGACTCTCTGATTTTAGCACTCTCTACGTCCTCTCTACCTCCTAGTCCAGCTGATGTGCTGCCAGGGCAAAGAACCTCTGGATTCTACAGAAAACGTAATGAATATGCTCTTTATGGCAACTCACAGTTCCATAAAGTGATTCTTGTTGTCTTTGAGTATCTGTAAATTTCCCCATCTCAAAACACGTAGTTCCACTTTTATTTATTTAACTTGCGTTGTAGAACTTCGCAGAGTATTGAAGGCCATAGAAAATGTAAACAATACAATGACACTTACAGAGTGGTACAGATCAAAACTAGAAAGCCAAATAATATTCAGTGGAATGATTTCTAAATCAAGACCTTAGAAAGCCTGATTGGAAATGTGAACTTTGTTTAATGGAGAAGAAGCTGGTGTGTTTCCACCGGTTGCACATCAGGTAACTGGGTTGGTGTGAATCCAGAGATTGGCCTTAAAACAGTTTCATTACCAAATTGAGTAATATCATCAGTGCCAGAAGGGGATAGGTTAGAGCAAGCCCTACTCCCTTGTAGCACTGTTGAGGTTACCTAGTTTGGTAATGAAATGTCTGCAAGAAAATAGCCAAGTTCGGAGAGCACCAAGGATCCCTTATTTCAACCCTGAGCTACAAATATTATCTTCTAGTTGTAGGTTTTTTAGGATACAGTTCAAGTCTCTGGTATTGGGGGTAGCACATAAACGTTGCTTGCATTTTGATTTTGATGTGGTTGCGATGCCTTAGCTCTACATAGATAAGAGTAAAGGCTTTGGCAAACCCAAACCTTTTGGTGATTGGATTTCCTAAAGATGTATTTCTACCTTTTCAGCTCTTTGACTACATTGCTGACTGTTTGGCTAACTTCATGGAGCAGCTGCAAATAAAGGACAGGAAGCTGCCCCTGGGCTTTACCTTCTCCTTTCCCTGCCACCAGACCAAACTGGACGAGGTAAGTGAGATTTGTGCCCCTGAGACGTTGTGTTAGACCTTTCCCCACAGGCATCCAGCTCTGGCCCAGAGATCCTCTGGTAGCCTCGTTTCCTGCCGGGTCCTCTCGTGCCCAGCCTGTGAATGAGAGGGGCTTCATCCATCCATAACTGGTCCTGACATTACAGTTGGGCTTCCTCCTTTTAAGATGACCACATTCAGAGCATCTGCCTGGTGGGTAAAATCAGTTACGCTGGAGCACCTTTTACATCGGAGGCAAAGTTGGGTGGGGGCAGAAGTGGGTGAGATGAAGGGGTGGAGTCCTTATGGCTGGTTGGGACTGAGGTGGGCACGGCCCCTCACTGGAGCTCCCGGATCAGTCTCGTCTTCCCCCGCTGGGTGCCAGGGATCTCTGGGAACCACGCAATATGCCAGGCTGATCAGACGGCAGTTCCCTCAGGCCATTGTGGCCCCAACAGGTGGAGCACAAAGCTGAAACAGCATCATGGAGGAGTGCTGGAAAGGGTCCAAGGGCTCCCGGGAGCATTTAGAGTGTGTAGCCCACCTAGGAAAGGGAGGAAAATCACTGCTTGGCATTCGGCCCATTGGAGATGCTGTGCTTTGCTATACTTTATTCCACTTGGGTGTTGGCAGAAAGGGGTGCAGGAGGAGGGACGGAGGAAGGAGATGATGGAGAGACTGCAGCCAGATGCAGGACCGCCTGAAAGTGGGAACAACAATTTTCTGCTCCAATCTGCAGAGTCTGGGTGATATTCAGCAGAATAAAAATAAAAAACTAATAAAGACTCCTGAATGCCCACCAGAAACATTCAATCGTGGTTTGAAGCATGGTTTAAATAACAGCTCCTCCTCCAGATATGTGGACTTCAACTCCCAGGATCCTCGGGGAAGATTTCTCGATAGTACCCGTACAGGTTGAAGAGTTCTGGGAATTGAAGTCCGCACTTCTCGCATGGGGGTATCCTGTCAGAGCAGATTGTTCTAGGACGCGGGGAGCAGAGCCTCCTGGAAGATAAGTCATGTTAATTCCATGTCACTTTACCCTTTTCTCAATCAGAGCATCTTGGATACGTGGACCAAAGGATTCAAGTGCAGTGGTGTGGAAGGGAAGGACGTGGTTTCGCTGTTACGGAAAGCTATAAAGAAGCGAGGGGTAATTCAAGCCAGATCTTTCCCCAGCTGGAGGTTCTAGGGAGGCACTAGATCTCCCCCAGGATCTATTACAGGGTCATTGGTGCTGCTGGAATCCTCTCATAGTCGATCAGTGGGGGTTGCATGTTTTCTTTAAAATTGTTCGGAAAAGAGTGCAAAACCCGTTCATGCCATGATAACGGACAGCGCACCACTGTGTGCACCACGAAGAAACGACACATTCACTCCACCCCTTCCAGCTCTCTGCCGTTTGCGCAGAGATTGTGAGGTGGCTTGGGGCCTGCGAGGGGCCTGGCATCGGCTGCAGGCGGGAGTGGCAGGGAGCTCTCTTTGCTGCAGCAGCAGCAGCCACGGCATCTGCCCTGTGCTTCAAGCAAGGAAAGTCCCCTGGGAGTGGCTGGAAGGGAAGGAGGGAAGAAGAGCAGGATCCTTCCACGGCAGCTGCCACAGACTCCTTCTTCTCCAGAACGTTGCTGCTTCACCATTAAGTCCCAGCACAAAGCAAACTGGGCCCCACCGGTCTGCCCCATCTTGTGCTGCCCCTGCTTCCAAGGCCTGGGAGGAGGAGCCCTGGGGGTCAACTGGATTGTGTTGAGCCAACTGGGACTCTCACTCAGCGCTTCCTTTTCCCAATTCCTGCATTACAGGACTTTGAAATTGATGTTGTAGCTGTGGTGAATGACACCGTTGGGACAATGATGACCTGTGGCTATGATGACCACAACTGTGAAGTTGGACTTATTGTTGGTAAGGGAGTCTATTTGGGCATAAGAGGGCCAGGCAGATCCCCTTCCCCACTTATGTGGCCAGCCTGTGCCAATCGAGAAGCGAAACCAATTTTGGCCCCATCAGATGCTCCCTGCTCCTTAGATCCCTACCCAACATGGTGTCTGCCAGGACTCATTGTTTAAGTGGGGTCTTGTCTCTACCCTTCAGTGTGACTGTGGTGCTCCTTGATAAAGTATCTACTACATTTGTGTCCAAATGTCCATCAAGAGCTTACACCGGCCCAATGTCTGATTTTTTCAACATAGACCACCCTGTCCTTGAATGGCTGGGTGGACTGGACATTAACATTTGAACCATTATATGTCCATGTATTTGCGTTACACTAAATAATAAATAAATCCCCCTTAGACTTCATCTGTTCAGCTCCGGGCATCTGCTTTACGATGAGAGCTTCTTTGCTGCCCATTGCTCTGGCCCTGAAGTCTTCTTGGCTTCCACCTTGCTTCTCCCCCTCAGGTACCGGGTCAAACGCTTGCTACATGGAGGAGATGCGCCATATAGAGACGGTGGAGGGTGACGAGGGCCGCATGTGCATCAACATGGAGTGGGGAGCCTTCGGAGATGATGGATCCCTCAAGGATATCCGGACAGAGTTTGACCAAGAGATTGACATGGGCTCCCTGAATCCTGGCAAGCAGCTGTAAGTGGAAGGCCTTGCCCGGAGCCAGAGAGCATTCAGAGAAATGGGGCTCCTCCAGTCTGAGGAGGCCAGGTAGATCAGGTCTCGTGGGCTTTTCTAGGCCCAAGATGGACTTCCACGGATGAAGGACCGGCCTCCTTGCAGAAGGACGGAGGGTCCGTTTCCATTCTGCAGCCCTCAGTCATTCAGAGGAATGTGGGAGATAAAAGATATGACTGCATCTTCCTGGAACGTAACCCCTTTAGGATAGCATAGGAACATCTGTTTTTATGAAACAGTATTCTCACTGCATTTCCCTCCAGATGATGATTTAGCCATGATTCTCCATGCCAGTGGGGTCCCAGTGGGGTCCACCATGTGTGACCTGCGGTGTTTTGCTGAGCAATCCACAATCTGAAATCTGCCGACCTCTTTGATGCTGATTGTGCTCCTTCCCTCCCACGTGGCAGGTTTGAGAAGATGATCAGCGGCCTGTACATGGGCGAGCTGGTCAGGCTCATCCTGGTGAAGATGGCCAAGGAGAAGCTTCTCTTCAACGGGAAGGTCCCCGACGACTTGAGGAAGAAGGGCTGCTTTGAGACCAAAGACGTGTCTGCCATCGAAAAGTGAGTGGCGGGTCAGGGCTGGGAGCCCTTGGGCCTGCAAGAACTCGTCAGGCAGGGAGGAGCCGGGGCCGGTGGCAGGCGCGTCCTTTGCTGACCCCAAGAAAGCCTGGAAGGGGCTCCATGGGAAAGGAGGCTTCCTGGCTCCAGACCCCGAGAACAACCAGCCGCCCTCCATTCAAAGAAAGACATTCTTGTATCGAAGAGAACAGAATATTCTTTATTGGCCAAGTGTCATTGGACACACAAGGAATTTGTCTCCGGTGCAGAAGCTCTCAGTGTACCTAGAAGCAACACATAGTAAATCATGATTGTAATCATAAAATACAGTCATCACGAATCATAAGACACAACACTCAGTGATATAGCTTATTTAGGATACTAAGTAAGAATATAAGTAGGTAGGAAGCTTGTCTGCTGGTATCACACTCGTTCTCTTCCAGCAGCATTTTAATTGTGATCTGCATTGATGGCAGCCCGTGGATTCGCTCTGCCTGCTGGTTCTCCTGTGTGTGTTTGGCATGAGTGGGAGGTTTGGACCTCCGCCCGGCCAGACAAAGGAGGCACGCAGAGCTTAGGTGGTGGGCTAAGACCCTGAAGATCCCTGGGGACTAAGCCAATGGCTCCTCCTCAGGCTGGCCTACTTCGTAGGGTTGTTGTAGGGAAAACAAGGAGGAAGGAGTGTTGTGTAAGCCTTCCTGGGATTCCTAAATAGAGGCCTACATTCAGGCAAATAACTAGATGGATAGGAATCCCCTGGGCTCCCTGAGCCTCATATGCCAAGGACCGCTTGCTGTGAAAAGGATATGCAGACTGATGACCCTTCCATGGATGCCAAAGGTTAGGAGGGACCCTGGAGGTTTTCTAGTCCACCCCTGCCTAGGGCAGGAATCCTCCAGTCATCCTGACTAATGGCTGTCTAGCATGGCAGCCGAGCAGTGCTGAAAATGACATGAGGGAGGGAAGGTCCGGGGGTGGGGGTGGAGGTGGGGGGCTGGCCTGCAGGATTTGGCCATCCCAGAGAGGATTTGGGCAGAGACGGAGGCAGGCAGCGCACCAGGGAATGGCGTTTTGGGCTGGCCAGGACTTAGCCTGGCTCCTTCTCTGAATTTGCAGGGAGAAAGAAGGCATTTCAAAAGCCCAAACAATCCTGGAGCAGCTGGGCCTGGAGCCTTCCTACGAGGACTGCGTGGCCACCCAGAGAGTCTGTGAGATCGTCTCCACCCGCTCGGCCAACCTCTGCGGGGCTGCTCTGGCTGCCGTACTCCACCGCCTGAAGGAGAACAGGGGGGTCGACTGGCTGCGCACCACCGTCGGGGTAGATGGCACCGTCTACAAAAAACACCCTCAGTAAGTGGGCTCTGGAGACCCAGCTGGAGGGGCTCTTGAGTGGGTGAAGGCACTGGGTCCTAGCTGGCCAGTATCCTGGCTGGGGACTCCGTTTGAGGTCCAGAGGAAGAGGATATTGTTGAAGGTGGGCATTTTGCTTTGGAGCAAGCCAAATTCCTTCCTTCCTTCCTTCCTTCCTTCCTTCCTTCCTTCCTTCCTTCCTTCCTTCCTTCCTTCCTTCCTTCCTTCCCTCCCTCCCTCCCTCCCTCCCTCCCTCCCTCCCTCCCTCCTCCTTTCCCTTTTCTCCTTCTGTCCTGGACTCTGTAGTTCCTTGGCTCAGTTATTGAGTTTGGAGACTGTTGTGGGTCAGAGCGACCCATATAATTACATGCAGAAATAAATGGTGTGGGTGTCATATCCATATCTCACAATCTCAGGTGAGCTCAGGGACTGCAGGGCTTTGCTGTAAGAAGAGAAAGTTCCCAGGGGCTCTGTCTGTAGTTGAGTGTCGCCAGCCTCACCCTGATCCTGGTGCCCTTCAAGATGCCGTATACTGATACTGAAGTGCGCTAGAGATGAAAATTGTGATAGAAAATGGAAAAATTGTTTAATAAAACTTATTTTAAAAAACAAAACAAAACAAGATGCCATGGAAGAGGAGTGGTGGCCGGAAGGCAGATGTTTGCAGGGCTGTTCTGGTCTGGATTGGGGGCAGCTGATGTTCCCCTGTTAGAGAGGCTGTTTTGCTTCGGTCATCTGGGCAAACTCTGGGCCAGAGTTTCAAAGTCCTTCCTTGGCAACCGGCCTTGAGTCTCTGGGCCTCGTAGGTGCGTGTCCCACTCTCTTGCCGAAGCAAGTGGAGGGAAAGGGCTCCCGGAGGGCCTTGCTCCACAGAGGGGGCCAGCTGCTTTTAAACACGGGTGTGCAAGACTGAAAAGGGTCTCCCTGAGCAGCTGCTGCCTTCATGGGTCGCTCCGAGCCAAGTCTTCCCCTTTGCTCCAGCTTCAGCAGGGTGTTCTGCAACAGCCTTCTTCTCCATCTTTGCCCCGCACAGTTTTGCCCGCCGCCTTCACAAAGTGGTACGTCGCCTCCTGTCTGGCCATGAAATCCGATTCGTCCGGTCAGAAGACGGGAGCGGCAAGGGAGCCGCCATGGTGACCGCGGTGGCGTATCGGCTGGCTGCCCAGCACAAGGCGCGCCAGGAGATCCTCCGCCCTCTCCGGCTCAGCCAGCAGCAGCTGCTGGAGGTGAAGAGGAGGATGCAGCGAGAGATGGAGGGGGGCCTGGCCCAGCAAACGCATGCCAAGGCCACCGTGAAGATGCTGCCCACCTACGTGTGCGCCACTCCGGATGGGACAGGTAAGGAGGCACCGGGGAGTCCCCACTGGAGCAGGGGGAGGTATGGCCAGGATCCCACAGCCCGGTTCTGACTGGTGCAAATTGCAAAACACACCTAACTTTCACGATGAGGCCGTGATGCTCCTGATGTCTCCAGGCGCCCATGTAATAAATCACACACACACAAAAAAAAACCCCACCCAAACCAGGTTTAGCCTGGTGCACATGCATGGCTATTGGAATGCTGGGGACCTGTTGGACAAGTGCGAAGGCTGCCCCAGGGCGCCTCTGGGAGGAATCGAAGCTGTTCCCTTTCCCTTTCTCTGTGGCTTCCTGGATGCTCTTGCTGGAGATTTTCTTGTGGATTGTATCCTTGGAACAGATTTATTTGTTCCCTCAAAGCACCACCGGGGCAGCCCCTCCCCCCCCCCCCCCCCCCCGCTGGCCTCTGCTGGAACCTGTGTTGTTTCCCTTGGTGGCCCTTTCTACAGGAGGGAGATGCTTTTCTCGCGGGCCCTCTAAATGGTTTTGCGCAGACTGTGCAGTGGGGCCCCTCTTGCGAGCCTTCACAGGGGCTTTCTGGATGCATCATTTCCAGCAGAATCACCAAGTGCCATCCTCTTTTGAGAGTTTTGCAAGGTGCTGCTGTCAGTGCACCTGGAGGCCATCAGTGTGGAGAACGACATCTAAGGATTTCATTGGTCGTCTCCTCCACCACCTCCACCTCCATCATTGTGGTAACTTTTGGGCTTTGCAGAACGAAGCATAGAAGTTCTCCTGATGTTTTGGAAGGTCTGGGTGGTGGAGCAGTGGTGGTTGTAAAAAGAGCTGGATTTTGGTTTCAGAAAAAGGAGACTTCCTGGCCTTGGACCTGGGCGGAACCAACTTCCGTGTGCTTCTGGTGCGCGTACGAAATGGGATGCGGCGCAGCGTGGAGATGCACAACAAGATCTACACAATTTCAGAAGATATTATGCAAGGAACAGGAGAGGAAGTAAGTGATCCTTGGAAGAGTGGGATGGAGAAGTCCAGAGGGGCCTTCCTTGCAGCTAAAAAGTGCCCTGGCGTCTTGGCTTAAGGGTCTCTGGAACAGCTGGCAGGCTCTTGGAGAAGCAGCCCTACTGCCAGGGGTAGCTCTGGGAGGGATTACCAAAGTCAAGCAGATAGTTCTTGATCTTTGGTTTAACCGATGTTCGAAATTATGATGGCCTCAGAGGCTGCTTTACCATCAGCTGAGCACTTCTGAGTGTTGCAGACATCTTCCCTGTGGTCACATGATTGGATGAAATTCAGTGGTGAGAAGTACTAGGGCGACAAAGATGATGAGGGGCTGGAGACTAAAACATGTGAAGAACACTTGGAGGAATTGGGTATCTCCAGTCTAGTGAAGGGAAGGACCCGGGGGACAGGGGACGGGACGGGGGACGGACACAGGATAGCCGTCTTCCAGTGTTTGAGGGGCTGCCATGGAGAAGAGGGGAATCAATTTATTCTCCAAATCAGCAGAGGGCAGGAGAAGAAGCAACGCATGGAAACTAATCAAGGAAGAGAAGCACCCTATAATTAAGGAGAAACTTCCTCACAGTGAAGGCAATTAACCAGTGGGACAGCTTTCTGTCAGAAGCTGTGGGTGCTCCATCACTGGAGGCTTTTAAGAAGAGAGTGGAACAGGGTCTCCCGCTTGAGCAGAGGGTTGGATTAGAAGACCTCCAAGGCCCCTTCCAACTACACTATTCTGTTAAAAGTCTTCCACTCCTGTTTTACTCCTGCAATGCTGGGTTATTCTGGAAAATCCACCCTTCCTTGTCTTGTGGAGGCTGCCTGGGGAATTCTGGGAGCTGAGGTCCATGCAGCTGGGCCGTTTGAGTAGCATTGCTCTAGCACCCGGTGCCTGAGAGTGGGCCTTGTCCCAACCAGCAGTGCCAGGTGCAGCTCAGGTTCTCAGCTCCGCCCCTTGTTTCTCCCGGCAGCTGTTTGATCACATCGTCAACTGCATTTCGGACTTCCTGGAGTACATGGGGATGAAGGGGGCTTCGCTTCCCCTGGGATTTACCTTCTCCTTCCCTTGTCAACAAAACAGACTGGATGAGGTACGCCTTCTCCCGCTGCTTCCAAAGAGTGTGTGTGTGTGTGTGTTGTGCTTGTGGGCAGCTTGGAAACAGCAGCAGGCAGCTCAAGTTGGGTTAAAAGGCAATGAAAGCAAAAAGTATCCATAACATCCTTAGAATTGGTCAAGAAAGGACCAGGAAGGTTAGTCAGTTAATAGATTCAGACACTTCCCCCCACTCCCAATTGCCCGAGGGAATGAGAACCCGAAGTGCCAAGGGCTGTTGGAAGAGGCCTTTTTTCATAGCTTTCCTAAAACCAGCAGGGAAGGAGCCATGTTGAGAAGGGGGCAGGGTGGGGCTGGGGTTGCTGTTTGGTTGTATTTCAGGACAAGACGGCCCGGTCAACTGGGCCATCGATCAGCATTAGGCAAGCCTTGGATTTCTGAGGGATGGGAGCAAGGAGGGAGATCGGCCCTGAGCACGAACATTTTCCATCCACCTCTTGCCAAAGACCTGGGTTACCCAGAGACGCGGAGGGGAGATTTTCCAAGGCACGTGCGGATGGGCTGCCTCCTTTGGCAAGCGCAGGAGCTCTGCTGAGTCACGCAGGAGAATCAATGGATGCGGTAGCTGGAAACACGACACTTTGGTTGCTTATGAAAGTTGCAGCTGTTTAGAGCATGTTTAAAAATCAGCTGGGTAGATTTGAGCTACTTGCTTAACCTGAGGCCACGCAGGTGGGGATAAAGTTGTTAATAGATGATCCCGAGATGGGAGCTGATTTCTGTGCTCCTTTCCTCCTTGTTTCTCTCCCTCCCTCCCTCCCTCTCAGGGCATTCTCCTGCAATGGACCAAGGGCTTCAGTGCTTCTGGTTGCGAAGGAGAAAACGTGGTGGGGCTGCTGAAGGAAGCCATCCTCAGAAGAAAGGTACATCTCCCAGTTGGGCCTTTCCAGTCACAGAATTGATCCATTTTGGAGAGAAACAAAACCAAAGGAGTGATATTTGGAATATTCTCAATGTGGACTGAGGTTGACTAATTTTGATTTCTAAATCCTTTCTACATCAGGGTAGTTTCTTGTTCCCTCACAGAATAACAGAATAGCAGAATTGGAAGGGACCTTGTAGGACATCTAGTCCAGCCCCCTCCTGCTCAGACAGACAGGAGACTCTATGCCATTTCTGACAAGTGGCTGTCCAGTCTCTTCTTGAAAGCTTCCAGGCTCTCTTTTTCTTTCTTCTCCTTAGGAGTTTGAACTGGATGTGGTGGCTTTGGTGAATGATACGGTGGGCACCATGATGAGCTGTGGGTATGAAGACCCTCTTTGTGAAGTGGGGCTCATTGTTGGTAAGCACCAAACCTTGGTTGTTAAAGCAGTGATTTAATTGATGGAGGGGATTCTGCCCTCTTCTGTACCAAGAACATCATCCATGGCCACCTTCTTCACGAATGAAGCCAACCAGCCGGAGAGACATGTTGTCCTTCCATTTGGATGTGGGTGAGAGGCTGAGCGCCTCTGTGGTTGGAGGTCACGTTAGGCCCCACTCTGGCTCCTGAATCCAGGGGTTCGTAGGCTTCATAGTCATCTCATTTAGCAACTTACTGATAATCAAAGGAATATACGAAACAATAGAACGAAATCCAACTCTCAGAACTCTGAACTTGGTGGTATCTTTGCCCGGTGGAGGCTGGGCTGAAGAGGCTGCCCAGGAGTCTCCCGTCCTCATTTTTTCCTTCCTCCCAGGGACTGCAGACTCTCAACTGGGCGGTTGGGACGTGTTGTGTGCTTCATACAACAAAGAAAACCATGGCAGTGTAAAGAAACACAAATGGGTTACTATTTCAAAATGGAATTTATTTTATAAAATACAAAATATAATAATTAGTCCATCCTTCTGGAACAGTCCGATGCTGCTTGGTGGCCATATGAAAAGAAGTACAGAGATGGCCTTGGACAAAATATGCGGCAACTATTAGTAGAACTGAGGTTAGCCTGGGAAAACGGGCACGTGAACAAAAGAAAAGTTCCCCTTTTCGTTATTTTTGGCATAAGAGAGAGTGAAGGGGAAATGTGGTCTGGCTTTCGAGATCCTATGTTAGATCCTATGCCAGTAACCCAGAGTTTGTGGGTCATGTCTTGGAGTACCTGCTTCTGGTTTTTGCAGCTTGCCTGCGCATGGCATCTGAGGACAACAGCTTGGCTTCTTGCTGAGCTTCTGTGCCTCTGCGGTTGACGCTTGGAGGGAGTGGAGTTCTTCTTGGTGACAGAGCCTCATCCCCGGGTACTCCCTGCCACATTGGCATGCTTGGTCCTATGGTCCATGTCACCTTTTCTACCTTCTGCCTCTTCACCCAAAAGTGGCAGCTGTTCCTTTGGCCTCTGAGATCCTCTCCTGTTGCTTTTCCAGGAACCGGCACCAATGCCTGCTACATGGAGGAGCTGAGGAATGTGGAGCTGGTGGCTGGGGACCAAGGCAGGATGTGCGTCAATATGGAGTGGGGGGCCTTTGGGGACAATGGCTGTTTGGAGGAGTTCTGGACAGAGTTTGATGCCACCGTGGACGAGAACTCCCTCAACCCTGGGAAGCAACGGTGGGTGAACTTGGGGCCTTCGTTTTCCTCCAGGCTCAGCAGGCACACAAAGGAGTGCACGAGTGAGGGGATCCAGTCTCCCTGATCTACCTGGACCCTCCTTGCTGGATTCCCACAAGATGCCTGTATTCTGCTGAAATGGGATTGGTTGGTTCCACATTTGGGGGGACCCAGCCATTGTCGGACCGGGACGCGGTGGCTCAGTGGCTAAAACGCTGAGCTTGTCGATCGAAAGGTCGGCAGTTCAGCGGTTCGAATCCCTAGTGCCGCGTAACGGGGTGAGCTCCCGTTACTTGTCCCAGCTTCTGCCAACCTAGCAGTTCGAAAACAAGTAAAAAACGCAAGTAGAAAAATAGGGACCACCTTTGGTGGGAAGGGAACAGCATTCCGTGCGCCCTTGCCGTTGAGTCATGCCGGCCACATGAGCACGGAAACGTCTTCAGACAGCGCTGGCTCTTCGGCTTTGAAACGGAGATGAGTACCGCCCCCTAGAGTCGGGAACTACTAGCACATATGTGCAAGGGGACCCTTTACCTTTAGCCATTGTCAGAGCACGTGATGCAAACATGGTCCCATTCTAGACTATAATGTGGTTTATTTAGTTGGGCATTACGTGTTGTTGAGCAGTAATGAGGTTTCATTAAACCAAGTTTAGCATGCAAGTTAGTGTCCTTTAGCATTCACAAGCTTATTCTCCCTCCCAACATTTCAGATTTGAGAAGATGATCAGTGGGATGTACCTGGGAGAAATTGTCCGCAATATCCTGATTGATTTCACCAAGCGAGGACTTCTCTTCCGCGGGAGAATCTCTGAACGGCTAAAGACCAAAGGGATCTTTAAGACCAAGTTCCTGTCTCAGATTGAGAGGTGAGATCCGGTCAGATCTGATCGGGATCTGGGGCCAGAATCTCCACTGACTACAAGCAGAGAAGAGGGAGGTGGAAATGGCTGGCGGCCTCTTCCCCTTCTTGGACCTTCCTTGGGCTCTCCTGGAGTGCCAAAATTCTTGTTTCTCATGGGATAAGCCAAAGGATTGGTGAGCGGCTTCCTTCAGAGTGACTGCTGCCTCCTAGTGGCCAGGTTTACTTCCCCTTCTGTAGCCTTGCCCAATCACCAGGTAGTTTCTAGGACTACAAATCCCATAACATCTGACCCAGCCAAGTTGGAGAAGGTTGGTGCAGTATTTCCTTGGGAGCAGTTGTATTCTGGTCCTAAAGTTGGAGTAGAATTGTAGCAGAGCCTTCTTGGCCAAGGATATTTTCTTTCTTTCTCCGTATGTTATGTAGTATTTCAATCATGCAATGAACATGCATAATACTTATTGCTGTTTTCTTCCAACATGAGGTGGAAAAGACAGTGATTTTCTTCCGCTATATATTCTTTGTGTGAAGCAAACACGCAAAAAGATAATTGCACATATATAACCTCTCGCAGACATAAGCAACACACACACGATTTACAAGAGCATCAGATGGATTATTCTGTGCATTAACCAGGTGGAAGCTCAGAGCAGTTTTTTGAAAGAAGAGCAGGTGAATGGGCAATAAAATATCCTTAGCTGCTGAGTTGCTGAGCTTTCAGATTCATCATCGATGAATTGGAAACTGTGAAGTAACCTAAGATTGCTCTCCTCTTGGTCGCCCTTGGAATTTCCATTGGGCTCCATTTCGGACAGAAGCTCAGAATTGAAGCCAGGGCAAGAGGAGGCCCTTCTGAGCCCAGGAGTTGTTTCGTGTCAGAGTAAGGATGGGAGCATGGCCAGCCCCACCCGATAGGCCAGTACAAGGAAACTAAAGCCACTTTTATTGGGACAGACTATAATAACAGAGTGCAAGTCTGATTGTGCTGGGCCTTCTTTCATTCCTATGAATCAGGGAGGTGTTTAAGCCCCTTCCAGATGTTCTCTCGCTGAACTGGACTTAAAGTGTCTTCAGCCTCTTCTTACCCGTCCAGGTTATAGAATAGAATTTTTTTTTAAAAAATTTGATTTATATGCCGCCCTTCTCCGAAGACTCAGGGCGGCTTACAATGCGCTCAGCAATAGCCTTCATCCTTTTGTATATTTATACAAAGTCAGCTTATTGCCCCCACAAACTGGGTCCTCATTTCACCTGCCTTAGAAAAGATGGAAGGCTGAGTCAACCTTCAGCCTGGCAAGATTCGAACCCTGCAGTAATTGCAGGCAGCTGGTCTTAATAAGCTTAATAACAGGGTGCCTTAAACCCCTGTACTACCAAGGCTCCTTACAGAGTCAGAATAACAGAGTTGGAAGGGACCTTGGAGGTCTTCTAGTCCGACCCCCTGCTTAGGCAGGAAATCCTGCAGCTGTGAACCATTTCAAACAAATGGTTGTCCAAACTCTAGGTGACGACTCCTGCACATCTCCATCAGGGTCCTCATCCTTGCTTTCTACATCAGGCCAAGCCCCTTCCAGCAGGATGGGCAAGACCCGCCTCCTCCCCACCCAATTCCTAAGCCTGTGTGTGCCCCGTCTTGTGCCCCCAGTGATTGCCTGGCGCTGCTTCAGGTCCGTCACATCCTCCAGGACCTAGGTCTGAAGAGCACCTGTGACGACAGCATCATTGTGAAGGAGGTGTGCACCGTGATCGCTCGACGTGCCGCTCAGCTGTGTGGGGCAGGAGTGGCCGCGGTGGTGGACAAGATACGAGAGAACCGATATTTGGACTTCCTGAAGGTCACTGTCGGTGTGGATGGGACCCTCTACAAACTCCATCCACAGTAGGTTCCTCTGCTTGGCCTTGGGGCGGGGGGGCGGGGGGGAGGTTTGATTCCCTAAAGCCGCGTTTCTCAGACTCTTTTAAGAGGCCTAGGCCAATTTCCCAGCCAGCATCTGAAGACTTCAGTTCTCAGAATACTGGTGGGGGAATTCTGGGAGTTAAAGCTTCTTAAAGTTGCCAAGGTTGAGCAACGCTGGCCTAAGAGAAGAACTGCTTGAGGCGGAAGGTGGAAAGGGAAGGGGGGCAGCAGGAGAGATCTCGATGGCTTTGTGCTGCACCAGTTGGCCCCAGCGCCTTCTGCCGTTCGCACGGAGGCTTCCCTCACATCTTGGCAGGCTTGGTGCTGCACAGTGTAGCCTGGCGTCGTGTCATTCTGCAGCGGGATTGCACGGGATTTGCCACGACAAGAGACGCAGTTACTGGATGTCTGTTTCCCCAGATATTTGGGAAGTCATCTCTAAAGCCGACCCAGAAATAATTTGTAGAAACAGTTAAAAATGGAGGACCGCTGGCATTTTTGTGGCAAGGCCAAGAAAGAAAAATGAAAGCAAAAAAAAGCCCAACGGGGGGAGGGAGAACAAAGCAGGTCAAATGACCTCCTGTTCCTTTCTGCTCTTTTTGCAGCTTCTCCAAGGTGATGCATGAGACCGTGAAGCAGCTTTCGCCCAAGTGCGAGGTGTCCTTCCTCCAGTCCGAGGATGGCAGCGGGAAGGGGGCGGCCCTTATCACTGCGGTGGCATGCCGGTTGCGGGAGGCTGGCCAGCATTGAGAAGGGCCCCCAAGCATGCAGCTGGAGCCACCACTCCCTCCCTGCCCGGTCTCCAATCGTCTTGTCTTCCAAAATTGCTCCTGATAGAGCCTATCCGGGCCAGGTCCTTTGCACATAGATAGCAAGCCTCCCTGTAGGATACGGGCCTCTTCTTCCGGTTGACCTCCAAGAGCTGTTCGGTGTCCTTCAGCCGTCTCTGATCAGCCCGTGGCCCTCTCACATCTGAAGCACCTGGTGCTGACCAGATCATAGCATAGCAGAAGCCCATTTCCACTGAAGGCAGTGAACCTGCTTATATTACGACACAAGCATTTGTAGTAGGATAGCAAGTATTGGCATTAGGAGAGCAGGGAGGTTCTCCAACCATGATTCTTGAGATAAGCTCAGGGGATTTGGGTGAGCAGAGGCCGGGATATCCCAGGACCCCAAGAGGCTGCCTACTGATCTTCCTTTGAGAGGCTGCAATGCCATCCAGAGCGTGGGCTGCCTGTGGCCTCGCTGCTCTTTTCTGCTGCAAACAGCCCCCCACCCCAATCCATCTGAAGGGTCCTTGACACCCCAAAGCTGGCAAAGGACTGTTGTGGCCCCATCCAGGAGGGAGGGAGACGCTACCTGGGCCCTTGAGAAGCCCCGCTTCTATTTTCCCTCACATTTTATAAACCAGCACCTTAGTTTGCAGCTTCTCTGTGAATTGGCTTCTTTCTTGAGTTTTCACCTCTGCCAGGTTTGGGACTGCAAACCCCCCCGCCGGTCCTTTGTGGGGGGGGAAGGGAAGCCTCTTCCCCACCTGTTTCTTGGGGAAGCTCAAGTGCATTTTGAAGTTTTGAGGGCAAAGGGGGGAGGAGGAGGGGAAAGGCTTCTCCAGACCTGAACCGTTGACTTTCAAGGGAGACCCCTGCAGGAAAGCCGCCTCCAAAAAGCCAGGTGGGCAGCTGGGATGGCAGAGTCCCCGCTTGCCTTTCCGCGGCCTCCTGCAGATGACAAGCTCCCCTTCCAGTTCTGAATCCAGCCACGGGATGGGCAGCTGTGAAGAGGGAAACAACGCCGCTGCTTTCCTCAGGGACCACGAGTGGCAAAGAGCCAACGACCCAAAACCTCTCTTTATGGCGGAAGATCTGTTTAATCGGAGTCAAACTTTACCTGTGACATCCAGTACAATTTTGGCAGTCATTTTGAAGAGAAATTATTCTATTTTTTTATCTCTCTATGTATATATTTATATTTAAGGCTTGGATTACTGAAACAGAAACGTTCAAGGAAATATTCCATTTAAAATTCCTATTCTTTTAAGCATTTAAAATGATTGACTATTTTAGGAAAGCTTCAATCTTGCAATAAAGAGGAACCACTCCAAACAGCCTGTGTGGAAAAGACCAAATGAAAATTTGCGATGGGACAAATATTAAATTTATCTATTTTTATACAAGGGAAAACAAAAAGAATAATCCGATGCCAAACCTTTTTGTGGAGACTTTACTACAAATAATACCTCTCTGCTGAAATGATTGAAAACAATATTTGATCTACTGTAATTACAGAGAAAGTAATTCCCTATATGTATTTTTCTGTGGAATTTACATTCATGAGATTGTCAAGAATGTAGAAATGCCTTGCATTTTCTTAGTAGTGTGCTTGTTTTAGTGAACAGAACCTTTTGCTTAATAAGATTGTTAACTTGAAAGAAAGAAAGGAATTAGAAATAAAACCTCTTTTGTCAGACTTGAGTTTGTTGTAGTCAGAGGGGGGGTTGCAGGGAGGCCCCAGGCCGGGCTTGGGAAGGCGGCAATGGTGGGGGCTGAATTCTTTGGCAGAGCCCTTGAGTGAACTCCGATTCTGTCTCTCTCTCACCCATGAAGGGTTTTGAGTGAGCTGCTCTCGGGGTGACTTTAAGACCGGCACCGTCTGTGGCTGCAGCTCCTCCGACTCTCCCATGGAGCCCAGTGAAGCCTGGCCAAGCAAATGGGGATAGGTGTGCATTGGTGGTGTGGCTGCAGCTTTGGCACAGAAGTGCATCATTTTGAAGCTGCTCGATCTCTTGAAGCTCTCTTCCTTGCCCAGTCCAGAGGTTTCTGCTGCGTTTTTGTGCCTCCTGGGACAGAGTGATGATCTCTGGGTGCCCTGAGAAAAATCAGGAGAGAATTAGGGAGGTGAGTAAAAAGGTTTGCAGTTCTGAGTTTGGTAATTTTTGAGCTTGCATTTCCTTCTGCAGAAGTCTGGTGGTTGCCTATTGGTATATTCAGTTTACCACACAAGTTGGTGTATTAATCTGCCTATTTGATAAATTGCCTCGTATTAGAATGGAGAAAATTGCTTCCCATTCTAAAAGCAAAAGTACCAGCATAGATCCAGATTGCTTCCCCTCCCTTGCCCACCTGTCCAGGGCCCCAAGAAATTCAGCTGCTGCTGGGCCAGTTCAAGCACTCTGATATATACATCCCCCGCCACACACACACACACACTTGGATATGGGAGAGCTACTGCAAGGGAAAAGAGGCTGCGTGTCCGGGTGGGGTGGGGTGAGGAGAGGCAGTACGGTTAGCAAATCATAAAAACGGCTGAGTGTTGGGTAAAGGGCATAGCAAGGGGTGGGGTTGAAAAAGGGATGGGCAATTGCACCATCAAAATTGTGTGTCTTTAAAAAATACAATAATTTTTAGTAAGATTACAATTAGAAAACAAAAACTAATACAAACTACAAATAAAGTATAGAAAAGAAAAAATATATAAACGATTACATGTATATATACGTGTACATAAACATACATAAAGTATGTGTGTGTCTGTCTATCTCGGAGGCCTCCTTATTCCACTGTGGAGACAACTTCCTTCTCGTGTGAGAGGGACCTTAGAGTCCTGGTGGACAATCCCTTAAACATGAGCCAGCCGTGTGCGGCAGCAGCCAAAAATGCCAATACAATTCTTGGTTGTATAAACAAGAGGCATAGAATCAAACTCACGTGAAGTCTTAGTACCGCTTTATAAAGCCTTAGTAAGGCCACACCTGGAAACCTGCATCCAGTTTTGGTCACCACGTTACAAAAAAGATGCTGAGACTTTGGAAAAAGTGCAGAAGAGGAATAAGAAGCAGAGCAGAAGATGAGTGTGTCCCAGGGCCTGGCAATGGCTTGAAATATCCTGCGGTTTATGCCACCACCACCACCACCTCCCGTTGCTAAGAAGATGACACACCTCTGCCGACATCCTGGGTGGAAACTGACCTCTCTGAGCACTGGGTGGCGCAATGGTGCTTTCACATCCTTTGACCAGGAGCAGTTGCTGAGAAATGCTGGCTAGCCAAATCCAGGCCAGCGGCCCCGGAGTTTTCGAGGCAGCCCTTGCCCAGCAACCTGCCTTCCCTCCACAATAACCCTGACAGGCTATCCTGGAATCCAGCCTTGGAGGAGAAGCCAGGGTGAGATTCAGCCAGGTGGCCTTTGATAGTGGCACCTGAAATTTGGGGCTGCTGTCCAGGGCTGCAGCTGGCTCTGGAGCGGGTGGGTTTCTTTCCTGAACCCAATAAGAGGAGGGTCCCCTCACAGTCGGCTCCTCAAGAACGGGGGAGTGAAGAGGAGACCTTGAACCCCTTCGATCAAAGCGTCTTCGGCTCAGCACCTGAGCTCATCCCCAAGGCTTGTACCATCTGCTCTAGGCTGGGCTCCCCTCTTTGGCCTCTCTTGGGGCCACTAGGGTGTTCCTTCTGCAAGGCCGCGGGTTAAGGGTCTACGGACAGGGGTGAGGGGAAATGTGGTCGTCTGTCAGGCAGAAAAGACCAGGTCCACAGGAGCTGGAAATTGGGGGTGTCCTACAACTGCTACCACGTCTTCCTCTTTCTGCCTTGGTGGCCCCTTTGGTCACCATGGGGGGCGGGGAGGATGATGGTCCTCAGAACCAGCGATTCCACCATGCAAAGCAGCAATCTGTGACTTCAGGTGGCACCTTGGAAGCATGCCTGCATTGTGGGGGGATTCTGCACCCTCCTTTTGATCTCATTGGCTGTTGTGCGTCAAAGAATCTGAGCTGTATATTTGAGGTTGCGTGTTTCTATGAGAGAGATTTTTCTCAGATCCTCAGGCTCCGACTGGAACCGCTGCTAACAAACATTCAATGTACCCCCAACATTTGACATGGATCCAAAGTTTGAAAGAATGGCTCCCTTTCCCTCCCCCTTCTCCCTCCTCCCCTCCCCTTCCCCAGCAGAGAAAAGATGAACTCTGCTGAGTGGGAGTCTCACTTCCGCGTTAGCAAGAGCTGCTTTTAGAAGCTGCCCAAGCAGATGAATGTCATTTTGTTGTACAGCTTCTCAGGAGATGGTGAGCAAGGCAGCTCCGGGGTCCCCCTTTCTCCCACGTTGCATCTGAAGTGGCAACGGCAGTGAAAATGCCACCCAGAGAACCCTCTGGTAGCTCAAAGGCAGCTCCTCAGAAGTGACAGATCCTTATTTAGCTGCTGTCTCATGTCACAGCAGCAAACATGTGGACTGAATACTGCTCCTGTCAGGTGGGTCACTGAAATAAGCAATTAACAGAATAGAGCTGGAAGGGACCTTGGAGGTCTTCTAGTCCAACCCCTTGCTGAAGCAGGAGACCTTTCCATTTCAGACAAGAGGCTATCCAGTCTCTTCTAAAAGCCTCATGGAGATGGAGCACCCAGCACTTCTAAAGGCAAGCTGTTCCAATGATTAATTGATCTCACTGTCAGGAAATTTTGCTTCTCTCCTTGATTAGTTTCTATACGTTGTTTCTTTACTTCTGGTGCTTTGGAGAATAGGCTGACCTCTTCTTCTTTGGGGCAACCCCTCAAATACTAGAACACTGCTGTCCTGTCTCCCCTAGTCCCTTCTTTTCACTAGATTAGATGTACCCAATTCCTGCAACTGTTCTTCATATGTTTTAGTCTCCAGCCTCCTAATCATTGTTGTGCTCTTTTCTGCACTCTTTCCAGAGACTCAAAGTATTTTTTATAATATGGTGACCAAAATTGGGTGCAGTGTTTTAAGTGTGGTCTCACTCGGAGGTGGGTTTCAGCAGGTTCTGACCAGTTGTGGAGAACCGGTAGCGGAAATTTTGAATAGTTCGGAGAACTGGTAAATGCCACCTCTGACTTGCCCCGCCCCCATCTATTCTCTGCCTCCCGAGTCCCAGCTGATCGGGAGGGAATAAGATTTGTTTGGCATGATCTGTTATTGACAAACCCATGTCTGCTTCTGGTTATAACTTTGCTTGCTTCTCAGTGTTTGCAGATCTGTTGCTTGATTATCTTTTCCAAGATCTTCCCAAGTATTGATGTTATGGTGATTGGTCTGTAGTTTCCTGGATCTGTTTCTCCCCCCTCCCCCCCCCCCTTTTTTTTTAAGATGGGAACCACATCAGCTCTTTTCCAGTCCTCTGGAAATTACCTGATGCTCCAAGAACTTTGAAATATATGATTTAATGTTTCTGGGATCTGCCAGCTCCTTCAAAACTCTGGGATGTATAGAGCAATATTATCACTTCCCGTGATCTTGATACTCTCCCTCTGTGGATGCAGCCTAGGGCTGCATTGGCTTTCTTGGCGGCTGCAACACACTGCTGGCTTCTTCTTAAGCAGCAACCCACTAGGAATCCCTCTCACAATTACTGCTGTTTAGACAAGTACTGCCTATTCCATTCCTGCATTTGGTTTTTCTTGCCTAGTGACGGACTATATTTTTCTCACCACCGAACTGAATGTTATTGGATACAATATGAGTTTGACTAATAAGAAATAAGACTTTGAATCTGAACAGTAGAAAAGGAACTCTGGCTGGCTTACAGGATATTGTTGCTCATTTATCTTTTAATCTTGTTTTTTTGAAAATCAGTAAAATTATATTAAAATATTCTGAATCTGGTTTATAGAAGAAAAACAAAGCTGAATGAAATTGAATGAAAAGCAAATAGTGCTACATAAGTTAGATTTAAATAAAGTGCTAATTTTTTAAGGAGCAAAAAACAAAACAAAACCCATAACTCTATGGACATCCGATGGGCCCTTGCAAACCTCAATTTCCTGACCTGGCCCACATCAACAGACTGACCTCAGGGCTGCGAAAGGAGGCGGGTGAGGCGTCCTGTGTGGAACTTCCAGACCTGTGCAGGGTATGAAATAATGGATTTGAGGGAGGAAGGGAGATCCCAACCGCATAGCAGTGGGAAAAGCCCCTTTCTAGCAGTTCTCCCCTTCAGGTCATGCTTGAACTTGGATTCCTGTGCTGAGAAGGGGCTTGGAGTCGGACTGGATGGTTGCGAGGCTCCCTTCCCGTTTTAAGGTTCTGGAAGTCTAAGTGTGTGGGATCCAGGTCCAGGTCAAAGCTCCATTCCATGACAGAAAGGAACAGAGGCCTCTTTTTAACAAGACTTTGATCCTCCAGAACACACCCGGACAAGGGTGCTAAGAAGAACAAAAAGGCTGCAGGGAATCTCTGACAGAAACCGTTGTGTCTTCCTTGGCAGTGAGTGTCTCCGGGTGGTATGGCTCTATGACTCTTGGTCACTGTTTCTTGAATGTTCTTTTTCTAATGGATGGCTTATTGTATTCTCTATTATTAAAAAGATACTTTAATGTTGTACACCACCTGGAGGTGTTTTGCATGACAGGTGGCGCATTCTTGTTTTAAATAAGTTACGGCATAATAAACCAGTGGGAGAGCAGATAAGGCTCATCAAATAGCTCAAGAGGTGCAATGCAGAAGAGGGCAGGCG